AGGAGATATCGCTTGTGTGAGATCAAACGATATCTCCTAGGAGATATCGTTTTGACAGTAGATTTTGTACAATGCCCTGACAATGCTATGACGTCATGTACTTGATAACGTCACAATGCTATGACATCGCTGCACTGCAAGTGTAATGGCAGTACCAGGTTCAGAGATGTACATTTTTCATTGAAAATTAATGAAGAGTGATTTTGGATGATAAATAGAATCTCGGCAAGCCTCGGAAATTTGTAACTTTATCAACTCGTGTTAATATAATTGATATCAGAAGACATTTGGGTGAGATTCTCTATTTATACTACCAGTTGCGCTTGCTGGTGGAGCAGCAGAGATCGCAACTTAGTCAAGGTGGGAGTGTGGTGGAGGTAGTGTGTGTGCGTGTGGGCGTGCGTGTGTGCGCGTGTGTGTGGTGTGGGTGGGTGTGGTGTGTATGTGTCATTAACTGCAGCAACAACCAGTCCCGGGGAATTGCTCTGGATCAGTGTCCCTCTAAATTAGAGGAGTCACATTATATAAAATGGTAATAAGGAAATAGAAACATTGAGAGCGATGCGAGGTCCAGCATTGCGGGCCGCCTCCGTGGTGTAGTGGTTAGAGCGTCCGCCCGGAGAGCGGAAGGTCGCGGGTTCGATCCCCGACCGCGTCATACCAAAAGACGTTAAAATATGGTACTTGTTGGTCCCTGCCTGGCGTTCGGCATTAATGGGTACAACAAGGACTGGTCGGCTCGGAGTCAGTATAATGTGTCTGAGTGGGGTATTCATGCTTCACTGTGACATGGTATCTCAGTGAGCTAGCACTATAAAACCAGCTTCAGTCTGGGCTAGTACAAGCAGCCGCACATACACATACACAAGCATGCACGTCGTCATATGAGCGAAATATTCTCAAGCACGACGTCAAACCCAATTTCACTTCAACTCACCTCCAGCATTGCGTGAATATCAAAACGTGCGAAAGTTCCCAGAGCACCGTTTACAGTTCCAGTCGTTGTTAGTACGGGGCGGTGGGGTTAGTGGTTAAAGCGTTGGCTCGTCAGTTCGATTCCCAATGGGCGTTGCCCATTTCTGGTGTCCCCGCCGTGATATTGCTGGAATATTGCTAAAAGCGGCGTAAAACCAAACTCAGACAGTCAGTCAGTCAATTAGTACTTACTCAGATGTTAAATTACCTGTGTTCTGATCAACTTCACTCTTCAGCTGAAGACGGGAACAATAAATCTGGTTACAGCTGCATCACGCTTTCATACGGTCCATGAAACAGTTCATCGTCTGACGATCGATATACGTGTTATTTCTAGATTTTAATTAGTTTGACAAAGCCTGGAATGAGTGTGTGACCTGGTGGACGACACATCATTCTAATTTTGCGGGGAGGAATTGGTTGTACATAAAATAGGGTCTCTGTATTCCAAGGAACCGATCAGCCCATCAAGTACATTGTGGTAGTAGGCCTTCTGTTTTAAACAAACCACCTTTTTCAAAGACAAAACAAGGGCATCTTTAAAGAACATTATATATTTGTCAAAGTATCAACATTAAAACAGAAACAGCAGAGGTTTCTCCCTGAACACGTCATAAAAATGAACCAGGTTTATTTTACTTTCCCTGAGTACCTTGTTGAAAGATTAGCACTGAAGGATGACATTTAATAAAAGTGCCTTTAAATAGCATTCACTGGAAGGCGTGTAGTTAATACACACTGTACCAGAACTCCTTGCACAATGAAAGCAACATTACAACTAAACATGAAAAGATTCAACTGAACTGAAGAGAAACAAGTCATTTGAAGGATTCTGCAAATTTTAGAGTGCACGGTAGGTTTATGAATGTGACTTTAGCATTAATATACCTAAAATATTTCAAAAATGCCTGGAACAAGAACCAATAAATTTGCAACAGTTTAAGAAAATCACATTTCATTCACTCATGCTTAATACTCATTATGGAGATAAATAGAGTTTGTGAGTGAGTTTATTTCTACGCCACACTCAATTCCAGCTATATCGCCTCGGTCTGTAAATAATCGAGTCTGGACCAGACAATCCACTGATCAACAGCATGAGCATCGATCTACGCAATTGGGATACGATGACATGTGTCAACCAAGTCAGCGAGCCTGACCACCCGATCAGTCGCCTCTTGCGAGATAAATAGAGAATCCTTTTATGGTATAGTGTTTTTACCATATTCTGGTAATGCAGAAGGCTAAAAGTGTTGGGGTGTCTACACATTCTCCGACAAGGTCTTGTTGGTTTGGTGTACCGAGCTTTTCCCACAGGAACGCTGCTCACTAGGAACTCTGCCCACCATTATTTATACAGGGGACGAACTATGTCCACAATATTAATATTTTGAACACCATAACACAATATTATATAAAATAAGTAAGTACATATTACACAGAACTACACAGAAACAGCACATAATATAGTCGATATTATATAAATATGAGTAAAAAATGAATAGCACTTTAGCAGTGTCACGATAAAAAAAATAAAAGATTTTTTTTATATAGTTCAGTCTAATACATGTAAAACCACTCTAAATAGCACTTTAACTATTTAGTAGTGAGTAGTAATGTGAGTATTAATTGTAATTAGAAAAGAAATACAAAGCAGCAGAGAAGCTTCGGTGAAGTGCAATTAATGTTTGATCGATTTTAAACTATACTAAACTGAACCTTTTAACAGGTTTCTCTCATATACAGGAAAATTTCTGTGGTGGGCATAAATATATATTGTGGTCAAAGGTCCTCCCCTGTAAAAACTGTGGTGGAGAGTTCTTAATGGGCAGATTTCCTTTGGGCAAAGTTACCGGATTCTGTTGAGTTCGACTAGGCAGCGCATATCGGGAGAAGCCCCATTCGCTGTCTGGGCTGCGTGGACGGAACAGGGGCACTGAGCTGATGATGAGCTTAACCTGACTGACTGTGCCAGAATCAACAGAAGTCTATTTGCTGCATCCATTTATTTGTAAATAAATGTTACAAAAGAGGTCGTTGAAAAGTCTGTAAACGATTACCTGTAACACATGACATTATTCAACAAGCGGTTACATCGTTTAGCGATTCTGGTATTTCAAGGCCGTGCAGGCATGGCGAGAAAATATGTCTCGTTTCATAATTGTTTCCCAAATTCAAATTCCCAGCACGGTGTGGAATTCACAGTGAAGTAGAATCTCTTTTTATGGTCTCATTAATTATTGCGGTGTTGAGCTTTATTGACTAACCTTTTTAACTAATCGTACGTTTTGAATTAATGAATCATGCAATAAACCTGAAAAACGTACTACGCTTGTCCAGATAATTACACTACATTCAGTTTCAGGTCAAATATAACTTTTAAACTTAGTACTCATATATATTTGATGTGTTGTGTCTGACCAGTGTTTCTTTTTGTGCGAATACGCAACGACAACATCATCATCATCATCATCATCATCATCATCATCATCATTATCGTCGTCGTCGTTGTCATCGTCATCATCATCATCATCCTGTCTTTTACAAACAGATAAATTACTTAAGAAATACAGTTTGCTCTGCCCCGTGTATAGTGTAATAAAGAGCACTTTTGCCCTGAATCATTATAGCTTAAGTACGAAGATGCTTTAAAATAAATAACGTACGAGGACGCTTGCGTACGTACGTGAACGCTATAATAGTTCAGGGCAAAAGTGTACTTTATTACACTTTACATGGGGGTAGAGCGAACTGTATTTCTTTTCTAAAATGTCAAATGGAATACTTTCTGATGATTGATCCAATGCAGAAAACAAATAGAAAAAGGACTGTGTGGATGACCTAAATTAACTATCCTCGATCGGGGCTGACTGACGTGCCGTCCTATTCACGAATGTAAGCCAGAATAACAAAGAAAACAAACGCGAAACAGTTAACATTTACATTATATATCTTCTCTGTATTATTTTAATTAAATGTGGGTAATATGAACGTCGCATTTATATAGCTCCAATACAAGTTTAGATTCATTTTATTCGAGATTTGATAATAGAGATTTTTCCACAGGATCTACAAAATGAACTCAATTCTTCAATCATCAGCAATACCATAAATGACCTAAAAGTTAGTGTAGACAGTGTAAAATCATGTTTTGCAAAATTATTATTCGGAAAGTTTCTGGACCAGATAATTTAAAAGGAGTAGTTCTTAAGTCATGTGCTGATCAACTCTTCCAAGCTTTACCAGGCCTCTCTTTACGCCCTTAAATTACCAAAGGTATGGAAAGAATCCATATTGATACCAGTTCCAAAACGATCTAGACCAAAAGAATGAAATGAACATACACCCGTACGTCTCACTTACGTCGGAAACTGTTTCCCTTTCCCCTTTCCCAAGATATAAATCATAGTTTGGATCCATCATAGTTTGCCTACCGTGCAAAGTGTGGGGTGGAAGATGCTACTCTAACGATGTTAGATAAATTATACAAACATCTGGAAACTCCCAAATATTATGCCCGTATCTTATTCGTTGATTTCCCTTCAGCCTTTAATACAATCCATCCTCATCTCCTAGTTATAGTCTCCCTGGTGTGACGTAATGCTAGTGTAGTTTATCGCCTGATGTGCGCATTTTGATTGTCATATTTTAATTCTGTTTTAAGATGACAGTCCACATATATATTGGGCTTGAATTTCATTTGATTTTTAAAAAAAAAAAAACCCATGCCAACGGCTTCGACCGTGTTTAAATTGAGTGTTTGGTTCGTAGTAGAAAGGACTACGAGGACAAATCTCCCGACAAGTCTACTGACACTAGTACTGAGCTAGTACACTGACATTTAAAAGCAACAACAACTTCTCTCTGCATGAGAACATACTTACTTTCTCTTTTAGCACCAGCGGAGTCTGGATGTCTGTTGATCTGATGATCTGTTCTTGATTGCTGGAATGCATAGAAGTAATTTCAATGTGCTCTTTTCAGGTATGCCGTTATGTCCGGATTTTAAGGTCAAATTGCACCACGCCTGTGAAATGTCAGCTGGGACCGGCTGAAAATGTCACAGCATTGGTTCTCCCAATTAACTGATAAATAGGAAATGACACTTTGAATATTCAACTCACGTGTCTCAATAATTTCAACACTCACGGAAACAGTTTCTGTTCAATCACGTGACAGGTGACGCTAAAGCACTGTCACATAAGATCCGAAGTTCAGTTTAATGAGTTCTGCAGACTAATTTAGTCGATTGGAAACTGGATCTATTTATGTTATCCAACACAGAAGAATCGATAGTCTCGCTGACGTAATAGTGTGGACGGCACACGGTCACTAGGATATCAGGTAATTTAAGGTGTATGTTTCACAGATAGTGCTGTAACAGACTGTGACGTAAGCAGTTGATAAATCTCATTTATTCACTGTTTGGGACGATATTTAATGCATATCTGCAGGTGTAGATACATGGGAAACAAACCTGGATGTGCATCAACCTAACTTGCTACAGCATGCAATTAAAATACGTTGTGTTGGTGTTTGTTTGTTCGTTTTCTGGTTGTTTTTTAAAATTTTATTTTTATATGTTCTAAAAAGCTGATAAACTCATATGCACATTTATTCTTTTTCAATCGCAGGGTAGCCTAGTGGTAAAGCGCTCGCTTGTTATGCTGAAGTCCCGGGTTCGATTTCCCACATGAGTGCAATGTGTGAAACCCAGATCTGGTGTCTGACCCACCGTGATATAGCTGGAATATTGCTAAAACCAGTACTCACTCACTTTCAAGTCCAAAATATAATTCGCCTTTGTTGAATTCTATAATGGTTTTGGGTTTTAGTCTATATCCAGTAAACAAAATAAGTTGATGTAATCTGGGTACGTGTGTGGGGGTGGGGGGTCATCAATTTTGTATACATAGACTAGGGGGGGTCAGCTATTTGCACATTAAAATATTTTAAAACAATGCTAAAAATTATGGGAAAGACAAGGATACAGGAGAAGGGGTGTGTGTGTGTGTGTGTGTGTGTGTGTGTGTGTGTGTGTGTGCGTGCGTGCATGTGTTACACTTTGTACATAATTTATTTTTTTTTTTTTTGGGTGTGTGTGTGTGTGTGTGTGTGTGTGTGGATGTCATTCACATTGTACATGTGCCTCCATAAAATTCATCCCCCAGCCATAAATTATGCCCCTTTGATGCCGAAACAGTAAGTAAGTACTAAATCCCATAATATTAATTAGATCATTGAGAAGCTTGGTTTCCATGTTTTGGACAGAGCATATGACAGGAAGTCTATTATCTCATAGAGGAAGTCTATTATCTCATAGAGGAAGTTTATTATCTCATAGAGGAAAAAATCTCTTCACCATTCCTACAGATGTGAAGTTGTCGGGGAACTAAGTGCTTATTTCACACCTGGTGCTAATTATAGACACCAGGGACTCCTTAGGAATGATATTAGGAACCACGTCAACAGATAATGCTTGATAGAGTAAATACAGTATATTTTTCATTTGTTGTAATATTTAGTTTCTTTGGTTGGAATTTCTTTGTGTATTGTTGGATAAGTTTCAAAGCTAAAATGTATTTTTTTTTATAAATTGTTTTGTTTCCAGGAGACCGTGGTATTAAAATGAAGACCTCACCACAAGTGGAGTTATCTTTTAAGGACATTTACGTGACAATTGATGCCAAGGAAATTCTCACTGGTGTTACTGGGAAAGTCCACAGTGGAGAGATACTTGCCGTTATGGGCCCAAGTGGTATGATAACTAACTACATGTCAAGACATTGTACAAGGACCCGTGAAGGTCCGGGTTAGAATTGATCTTCAGTAACGCATGCTTGTCGTAAGAGGCGACTAACAGGAGCAGGTGGTCAGACTCACTGGCTTGGTTGACACATGTCATTGCGCAAATCAATGTGCATGCTGTTGATCCCTTGATTGTCTGGTCCAGACTCGATTATTTACAGACCACCACCATATAGCTTGAATATTGCTGAGTGCGGTGTAAAACTCACTCACTCACTCAAGACATTCTACACAACCTGAGTTTGTAGATTTGAAATTTGAAATTCTGCTGATCTGATGTCAAATTTAAACTCGCTCAACTTACTAGCCTGGCTTTAGTTGCTACATTGGGTTTCATCTTCTAAGAGGGGTGGTGGAGTAGCCTAGTGGTTAAAGTGTTCACTGGTCATGTCGAAGACCGGGGTTAGATTCCCCACATGGGTACAATGTGTGAAGCCAATTTCTGGTGTTCCCCGTCATGATATTTCTGGAATATTGCAAAAAGTGGCGTAAACTAACCTCACTCACTATGGCAGTGGCATACCAGTAGTCGATATAGGTCACGATATATGTACAATATAGGTCACGATATATGTACAATATAGGTCACGATATATGTACAATATAGGTCACGATATATGTACAATATAGGTCACGATATATGTACAATATAGGTCACGATATATGTACAAATTATGGAGACCCGTGAAGATCCAGGTTAGAATTGGTCTCCAGTAACCCATGCTTGTCGTAAGAGGCAACTAATGGGATCGAGTGGTCAGACTCGCTGACTTGGTTGACACATGCCATCGTATCCCAATGGCATAGATTGATGCTCATGCTGTTGATCACTGGATTGACTGGTCCAGACTCAATTATTTACAGGCATCTTTGATTTGCTTTCTAGAAGTTGGGTAGATGAAAGGATGAGGACTATTTTTATGGATATACAACTTCTTTATTCTGTATAGGCGACGTTTCGACATAGATTCTAATGTCGTTGTCTAGCAAGTCCTGCCCTAACACACAAGTCGTGCCCACACACATTCTGCCCACACACACAAGTCCAGCCCACACACACAAGTCCAGCCCACACACACAAGTCCTGCCCACACACATTCTGCCCATATAATCAAGTCCAGCCCAGGCAAACCCAGTGTCCACACACAAGTCCAGACAACACACAAGTTTCCACACATGTTCTGCCCACATACACAAGTTCAGCCCAAGCATACACTGCTCACACACACAAGTCCTGCCCACACACGTTCTGCCCTCACACACAAGTTCTGCCCATATAGACAAGTTCCGCCCATACACATTCTGCCCACATACACTAGTCCTGCCCACACACACAGTCCCTGCCCACATTCAGAAGCCCTGCCCATTCACACACAAGTCCTGCCCACACACGTTCTGCCCTCACACACAAGTTCTGCCCATATAGACAAGTTCTGCCCATACACATTCTGCCCACATACACTAGTCCTGCCCACACACACAGTCCCTGCCCACATTCAGAAGCCCTGCCCATTCACACACAAGCCCTGCCCACATTCAGAAGCCCTGCCCATACACACAAGCCCTGCGCATACACACAAGCCCTGCGCATACACACAAGCCCTGCCCATACACACAAGCCCTGCCCACATTCAGAAGCCCTGCCTATACACACAGGCCCTGCGCATACACACAAGCAGTATGGCAACTTATATGCAAAAAGGTCGCTGAGTTAACCAATCAAATGTCGTGAAATCATTGAATCATTTGATATTTGACTTGATTTTTCCTATTAAAGTTAAATTAGAAGTTAGTATATTTACAGAAAAAACTAATTAATTTAAGAAGAAATAGTGAAAAAAATTTACATATAATTTCTTTTGATGTAGTTTTATGAATTTGCTTTACAATTCATTTAATAATTCCCTCAGTTATAACAGTAACATTTAATGTGTACGAGGAGATAATATATGTTAAATAGAAGGACCTCTGTATTGGTATTCATCAGTAGTTTATAGAAGGACCTCTGTATTGGTATTCATCAGTAGTTTATAGAAGGACCTCTGTATTGGTATACATCAGTAGTTTATAGAAGGACCTCTGTATTGGTATACATCAGTAGTTTATAGAAGGACCTCTGTATTGGTATTCATCAGTAGTTTATAGAAGGACCTCTGTATTGGTATACATCAGTAGTTTATAGAAGGACCTCTGTATTGGTATACATCAGTAGTTTATAGAAGGACCTCTGTATTGGTATACATCAGTAGTTTATAGAAGGACCTCTGTATTGGTATACATCAGTAGTTTATAGAAGGACCTCTGTATTGGTATACATCAGTAGTTTATAGAAGGACCTCTGTATTGGTATTCATCAGTAGTTTATAGAAGGACCTCTGTATTGGTATACATCAGTAGTTTATAGAAGGACCTCTGTATTGGTATTCATCAGTAGTTTATAGTAGGACCTCTGTATTGGTATTCATCAGTAGTTTATAGAAGGACCTCTGTATTGGTATTCATCAGTAGTTTATAGAAGGACCTCTGTATTGGTATTCATCAGTAGTTTATAGTTTATAGAAGGACCTCTGTATTGGTATTCATCAGTAGTTTATAGAAGGACCTCTGTATTGGTATTCATCAGTAGTTTATAGAAGGACCTCTGTATTGGTATTCATCAGTAGTTTATAGAAGGACCTCTGTATTGGTATTCATCAGTAGTTTATAGAAGGACCTCTGTATTGGTATTCATCAGTAGTTTTATAGAAGGACCTCTGTATTGGTATTCATCAGTAGTTTTATAGAAGGACCTCTGTATTGGTATTCATCAGTAGTTTATAGAAGGACCTCTGTATTGGTATTCATCAGTAGTTTATAGAAGGACCTCTGTATTGGTATTCATCAGTAGTTTATAGAAGGACCTCTGTATTGGTATTCATCAGTAGTTTATAGAAGGACCTCTGTATTGGTATTCATCAGTAGTTTATAGAAGACCTCTGTATTGGTATTCATCAGTAGTTTATAGTAGGACCTCTGTATTGGTATTCATCAGTAGTTTATAGAAGGACCTCTGTATTGGTATTCAGTCAGTTTAGTTTATAGTAGTTTATAGGACCTCTGTATTGGTATTCATCAGTAGTTTATAGGTATTCATCAGTAGACCTCTGTATTGGTATTCATCAGTAGGACCTCTGTATAGTAGGACTGTATTGGTATTCATCAGTAGTTTATAGAAGGACCTCTGTATTGGTATTCATCAGTAGTTTATAGAAGGACCTCTGTATTGGTATTCATCAGTAGTTTATAGAAGGACCTCTGTATTGGTATTCATCAGTAGTTTATAGTAGGACCTCTGTATTGGTATTCATCAGTAGTTTATAGAAGGACCTCTGTATTGGTATTCATCAGTAGTTTATAGAAGGACCTCTGTATTGGTATTCATCAGTAGTTTATAGAAGGACCTCTGTATTGGTATTCATCAGTAGTTTATAGAAGGACCTCTGTACCATCTGTATTGGTATTCATCAGTAGTTTATAGAAGGACCTCTGTATTGGTGTATTCATCAGTAGTTTATAGAAGGACCTCTGTATTGGTATTGATCAGTAGTTTATAGAAGGACCTCTGTATTGGTATTCATCAGCAGTTTATAGAAGGACCTCTGTATTGGTATTCATCAGTAGTTTATAGAAGGACCTCTGTATTGGTATTCATCAGTAGTTTATATAGAAGGACCTCTGTATTGGTATTCATCAGTAGTTTATAGTAGGACCTCTGTATTGGTATTCATCAGTAGTTTATAATAGTAGGACCTCTGTATTGGTATTCATCGGCAGTTTATAGAAGGACCTCTGTATTGGTATTCATCAGTAGTTTATAGAAGGACCTCTGTATTGGTATTCATCAGTAGTTTATAGTAGGACCTCTGTATTGGTATTCATCAGTAGTTTATAGTAGGACCACTGTATTGGTATTCATCAGCAGTTTATAGAAGGACCTCTGTATTGGTATTCATCAGTAGTTTATAGAAGGACCTCTGTATTGGTATTCATCAGTAGTTTAAAGGGGCGGTGGGGTAGTCTAGTGGTTAAAGCGTTGGCTCGCCAGGCCGAAGACCCGGGTTCGAATCCCCACATGGGTACAATGAGTGAAGCCCATTTCTGGTGCCCCCAGCCGTGATATTGCTGGAATATTGCTAAAAGCGGCGTAAAACCAAAACTCAGTCAGTCAGTAGTTTATAGAAGGACCTCTGTATTGGTATACATCAGCAGTTTATAGAAGGACCTCTGTATTGGTATTCATCAGTAGTTTATAGAAGGACCTCTGTATTGGTATTCATCAGTAGTTTATAGAAGGACCTCTGTATTGGTATTCATCAGTAGTTTATAGTAGGACCTCTGTATTGGTATTCATCAGTAGTTTATAGAAGGACCTCTGTATTGGTATTCATCAGTAGTTTATAGTAGGACCTCTGTATTGGTATTCATCAGTAGTTTATAGAAGGACCTCTGTATTGGTATTCATCAGTAGTTTATAGAAGGACCTCTGTATTGGTATTCATCAGTAGTTTATAGAAGGACCTCTGTATTGGTATTCATCAGTAGTTTATAGAAGGACCTCTGTATTGGTATTCATCAGTAGTTTATAGAAGGACCTCTGTATTGGTATTCATCAGTAGTTTATAGAAGGACCTCTGTATTGGTATTCATCAGCAGTTTATAGTAGGACCTCTGTATTGGTATTCATCAGTAGTTTATAGAAGGACCTCTGTATTGGTATTCATCAGTAGTTTATAGAAGGACCTCTGTATTGGTATTCATCAGTAGTTTATAGAAGGACCTCTGTATTGGTATTCATCAGTAGTTTATAGAAGGACCTCTGTATTGGTATTCATCAGTAGTTTATAGTAAGGACCTCTGTATTGGTATTCATCAGTAGTTTATAGAAGGACCTCTGTATTGGTATTCATCAGTAGTTTATAGAAGGACCTCTGTATTGGTATTCATCAGTAGTTTATAGTAGGACCTCTGTATTGGTATTCATCAGTAGTTTATAGAAGGACCTCTGTATTGGTATTCATCAGTAGTTTATAGAAGGACCTCTGTATTGGTATTCATCAGTAGTTTATAGTCTGTATTGGTATTCATCAGTGTTTATAGAAGGACCTCTGTATTGGTATTCATCAGTAGTTTATAGAAGGACCTCTGTATTGGTATTCATCAGTAGTTTATAGAAGGACCTCTGTATTGGTATTCATCAGTAGTTTATAGAAGGACCTCTGTATTGGTATTCATCAGTAGTTTATAGAAGGACCTCTGTATTGGTATTCATCAGTAGTTTATAGTAGGACCTCTGTATTGGTATTCATCAGTAGTTTATAGAAGGACCTCTGTATTGGTATTCATCAGTAGTTTATAGAAGGACCTCTGTATTGGTATTCATCAGGATAGAAGGACCTCTGTATTGGTATTCATCAGTAGTTTATAGAAGGACCTCTGTATTGGTATTCATCAGCAGTTTATAGAAGGACCTCTGTATTGGTATTCATCAGCAGTTTATAGAAGGACCTCTGTATTGGTATTCATCAGTAGTTTATAGAAGGACCTCTGTATTGGTATTCATCAGCAGGTATTCATCAGTAATTTATAGAAGGACCTCTGTATTGGTATTCATCAGTAGTTTATAGAAGGACCTCTGTATTGGTATTCATCAGTAGTTCTGTATTGGTATTGATCAGTAGTTTATAGAAGGACCTCTGTATTGGTATTCATCAGCAGTTTATAGAAGGACCTCTGTATTGGTATTCATCAGTAGTTTATAGAAGGACCTCTGTATTGGTATTCATCAGTAGTTTATGTCTGAAAAGATAACAGACAAGGGAACTTTTCATACTTGAATCACAAATTTCTGTTATTCATTTTCAGGCTCAGGCAAGACAACTCTTTTGAATTCTGTTGCGGGCAGAATTGTGAAGACATCAGGGGAGATAACTCTAAATGGTGACAAGTTAACTCGTAGATTACGGAAGAGAATGTGCTATGTGACGCAAGAAGATGCCTTTTTTTGTAATCTTACACTCAGAGAAACTTTGTATGTAAGTAAATAACACTCTCCTCTTGTATGCATTGGCTGACAAATAAATATTTACAGATAGCTGACAGGGTTGTCCCAAACAATAACAAATTATAGATTTTGGACAAACTAGTTAAAGCAATATCCCTTAGTTTTGTCACCTTCTTCAATACGTCCTTCTTTTACTTATTTGATTTAGCCATCTTGCCCACTTCATTTCATTCACTCCCTGCCTCTTTCCCTTGCTCGCTCTCACTCACTCACTCACTCACTCACTCACTCAATCATGCTTCACTCACTCTCACTCACTCACTCACTCACTCAATCATGCTTCACTCACTCACTCACTCACTCACTCACTCACTCACTCACTCACTCACTCACTCACTCACTCACTCACTCACTCACTCACTCAATCACTCAATCACTCAATCATGCTTCTTGCCCACCTTCCTTGATTCAGCCAACTTTCAAACCATATTTGATGTGGCCAGTTCTCTAAGATCAGTCTCCACAACCTGTGCTGGACTTAATGGTGGTTTAATAAAGAACACTAATGTATGAATAAACAACTTGTTTACTATAACACCAACAACGTTTCAGGGTAGGTTCTAGCACTGTTATTCAGCAAGTGATGTGATAATGGTGTATTAACGACAAAACAACACTCATGTTGTAATAAAGATGTTGTTCATCCATACATTGTTATCCTTCCTGAGTTACCCGTGAAGATCCGGTTTAGAATTGATCTTCTGTAACCTATGCTTGTCGTAAGAGGCGACTAACAGGAATGGGTGGCCAGACACACTGACTTGGTTGACACATATCATTGTATCCCAATTGTGTATATCGACTGTCATGCTGTTGATCACTGGATTGCCTGGTCACAAGTATTTACAGACAATCACAAGGTTGCTGGAATATTGCTGAGTGCGGCATGAAACAACAAACCAACCTCGTCTGTCTGCACCACTGTGCTAATTGGTGTCACCAAAGAATCAATAAGTATCGTCAAATTGGTGCAGAAAAACTGAATTCTGATTACCAGAAAAAGGAGTTTCAATTGAAGGCCACTGTCTAGTTTGCAGCCATGATACAGCTCCCAGAGAAGATGTGCCACCAAGAGAAGATGTCTCGTCTACAGGATATTCTGGACGCACTGGATCTGAATGACTGTAAAGACACAAGTGAGTAGAAGGCCATGGTTAGTGTGTGATTTAAAGGAAAATACAGGGATAGAATGCATTTCAGTCAATTGCGCAACATAAAGATTTTTGGGTGTGCCCTTTGGAATTGGAGTGTTTCAACCATTCATTATCATCCACCTGTAAATGTCATTTTGTTGCAAGCTTGTTTTTTTTTTGTTCCATATGATTTAGTTGCTGATACCTCGTTCAGTTTCTGAATGAAAGATTATTGTCTTTGTACTGTTTTCTTTAGCTACAAAATGTACAAGGGTCATTCTCAAAATTTGCCCAACTTTTGGTCAGTAACCCATTGCTCTGAAAATATTGTTTCAATTTTTTTTCAAAAATCATATTATGAAAGAAAAATGTATTTTGTTCCTCATAATGATGTAAAATAGTGTACCTGTTTGTTATTTTTGGGACATTTTGAAAGAAAAACTACTCTCAGTGGACAGCGACATTACTTTGCAGTACCATAAAGTTTAAATTCCAGGGTATTTATACATATTTTTTAAAGATTTAGAATGAAACACCAATATTAAAAACACATTCCTGCATGAAATATTGAAAACAAAATGAAAATCACATAATTACAATGAAAACAATGACTGTCCAAAATGTCACAGTCAGTGGTGTAACGAATATAAACTTGTGACATTAATAATTATCTCGTTTGAGTAAAAAGTATGAAACACTAAATGATCCCTTTGCTGATGACTTTCTTCTCATGGCAGAAGTTTTGTGGAGGCCAAATTTTATTTTGATGGTGAAGTTTAATGCAGTTGGTGAGTCTACTTTATATCATAACTTTTTATCGAGTCAGTGGTGTAACGTTGATTTCTTTTTCATAACGATGTTTATTTAAAGTACATCAAAGTTGCTAAAACATCAACATTTATGCCAGGTGGTCTGTGGTTAGGGAGCATCAATTGTTATAAAGTTCATAAAAGTGGGAATAGGTCAGTGGTGTAACTGTCAGTGGTATAACATGGGAAAATGTTACGCCACTGACAGTTTTTGTTACACCACTGACAAAATGTTCATTTAAGTCACTTGTTCACAAAACTCAACTGCTTTGCATTGTATTTATCCAGTATATTTTATGACCATTAACTCATGTAAAGTCTGTGAAGGTAATTTGTTCTGGTATATTAGTATATAAAGTTCAGAAAAATCAGTGGTGTAACAAGAAATGTCATTGGTGTAACAGTTGTTACAATATGTTCATTTTATTGTTTTAATATCATTTTGAAAACCTTTAAAAATCTGAGTGTTCAAAAGTTGCTATTGAGCTGTTCAATTCTGTTAATGATCAATTAAAGGCAATTAATTTGAATTTATCTTTGAAGTTAATTCAATAAAAATCAGTGGTGTAACAAAAATGTCATTGGTGTAACCATATTACAACAATATGTACATTTTATTGCTTTTGTACATTATTTTGAAAACCTTTTAAAATCTGAGTGTTCAGAATTTGCTATTGAGCTGTTCAATTCTGTTAGTGATCAATTAAAGGCAATTAATTTGAATTTATCCTTGAAGTTAATTCAATAAAAATCAGTGGTGTAACAAAAATGTCATTGGTGTAACCATATTACTACAATTTGTTCATTTTATTGCTTTTGTATATTATTTTTTAAAAACCTTTTAAAATCTGAGTGTTCAGAATTTGCTGTTGAGCTGTTTAAATCTGTTAATTATCAATTCAAGGCAATTAATTTGGATATATATTTAGAGTGAGGTAAAGAAAAATCAGTGGTGTAACACAACATGTCATTGGTGTCACAGTATTCTTTGAATTTGTACATTTTAATCTTAACTGTTGATATCATTTGTTTTCCAATGCCACATGTTGGAAAGCCGTCCTCCAATGATGATTATTAAGTAATCCAAAGCATCATATGGCTGTTGATTTGGTTTACTGTTCCAGTAAGTTGCAGAAAGTTCAGTGGTGTAACAGGCAGGATATAAAAAAATATCAGTGGTGTAACATGCATATTTGCTAACATTTAATTATTTCAAAAAAATAATTTAACAGTTAGACTGATATTTTATGATAACTGAAAACAGCTTTAATACCACTGTATACATAAAACGTGTTCAGTCTTAAGTATACAAGTTATTTCAGAAAAAAATATCATATGTTACCATTACTTTCTTCTCACACCAAGCCCTTTTTGCCAAATTTACAATTAAATATGTGAGAATAATGAAACGATTTCATTTATATTTGAAAATAGAAAAAGTTTGTAAATAATGACAAATGTGAAAAATTCCTTATCTGACATCAAAGTTTGAAAAAGAATACCTTTATGCTTGTTACACCGATGACGGGGTTTTTCAGTGGATACTTTAAAAAAGTTTATTTTAAAAATATTTTATTACTTTCCTGTGTGCAAATTATCATGACCGCATTTTTTAATGTGTTGACCATTCAAAACAATAATGAGATAATTCAGTATGATGCTTTGTATTTTCATATTTTTCATATCACGAATTTGGCCTTTTTTTGAGAATGACCCACAAATTTTCAATCAAGGATGGTGAGTCACAGACTCGAGTTAGCCAAGGACATGGGAGATTACTGGGACGGGATGTCGCTACTGGAGTTTACTGGGACGGGATGTGGAGACTGGAGTTTACTGGGATGGGATGTGGACACACGAGTTTACTGGGACGGGACGTGGGGACTGGAGTTTACTGGGACGGGATGTGGGGACTGGAGTTTATTGAGACGGGATGTGGACACTGGAGTTTACTGGGACGGGACGTGGACACTGGAGTTTACTTGGACGGGACGTGGACACTGGAGTTTACTGGGATAGAATGTGGTGACTGGAGTTTACTGGGATGGGACGTGGAGACTGGAGTTTCCTTGGACGGGATGTGGGGACTGGAGTTTCCTCGGACGGGATGTGGGGACTGGAGTTTCCTGGGATGGGACGTGGGGACTGGAGTTTCCTTGGACGGGATGTGGGGACTGGAGTTTCCTGGGACGGGATGTGGGGACTGGAGTTTATTGAGACGGGATGTAGACACTGGAGTTTACTGGGACGGGACGTGGAGACTGGAGTTTACTTGGACGGGACGTGGACACTGGAGTTTACTGGGATAGAATGTGGTGACTGGAGTTTACTGGGATGGGACGTGGGGACTGGAGTTTCCTGGGACGGGATGTGGGGACTGGAGTTTCCTGAGACGGGATGTGGGGACTGGATTTTATTGAGACGGGATGTAGACACTGGAATTTACTGGGACGGGATGTGGACACTGGAGTTTACTGGGACGGATGTTGACACTGGAGTTTACTGGGACGGATGTTGACACTGGGGTTTACTGGGACAGGATGTAGAGACTGGAGTTTACTGAGACGGATGTTGACAATGGAGTTTACTGGGATGGGATGTGGAGACTGGAGTTTACTTGGACGGGACGTGGACACTGGAGTTTACTGGGATAGAATGTGGTGACTGGAGTTTACTGGGATGGGACGTGGAGACTGGAGTTTCCTTGGACGGGATGTGGGGACTGGAGTTTCCTCGGACGGGATGTGGGGACTGGAGTTTCCTGGGATGGGACGTGGGGACTGGAGTTTCCTTGGACGGGATGTGGGGACTGGAGTTTCCTGGGACGGGATGTGGGGACTGGAGTTTATTGAGACGGGATGTAGACACTGGAGTTTACTGGGACGGACGCTGAGAGACTGAGTTTACTTGGACGGGACGTGGACACTGGAGTTTACTGGGATAGAATGTGGTGACTGGAGTTTACTGGGATGGGACGTGGGGACTGGAGTTTCCTGGGACGGGATGTGGGGACTGGAGTTTCCTGAGACGGGATGTGGGGACTGGATTTTATTGAGACGGGATGTAGACACTGGAATTTACTGGGACGGGATGTGGACACTGGAGTTTACTGGGACGGATGTTGACACTGGAGTTTACTGGGACGGATGTTGACACTGGGGTTTACTGGGACAGGATGTAGAGACTGGAGTTTACTGAGACGGATGTTGACAATGGAGTTTACTGGGATGGGATGTGGAGACTGGAGTTTACTGGGACGGGATGTGGACACTGGAGTTTACTGGGATGGGACGCGGAGACTGGAGTTAACTTGGACGGGACGTGGACACTGGAGTTTACTTGGACGGGACGTGGACACTGGAGTTTACTTGGACGGGACGTGGACACTGGAGTCTACTTGGACGGGACGTGGACACTGGAGTTTACTGGGACAGGATGTAGACACTGGAGTTTACTGGGACGGATGTTGACACTGGAGTTTACTGGGATGGGATGTGGACACTGGAGTTTACTGGGATGGGATGTGGAGACTGGAGTTTACTGGGATGGGATGTTGACACTGGAGTTTACTCGGATGGGATGTGGACACTGGAGTTTACTGGGATGGGACGCGGAGACTGGAGTTTACTGGGACAGGATGTAGAGACTGATGCTGCTGATTGTGTTTCAGTTATGGGTAGTGCAGTGAAGCGCGGTTTGTCTGGCGGTGAGAAGAAGAGGGCCAGCATCGGCTGTGAGCTGCTGATGGATCCAGATGTCATGCTGTTGGATGTAAGCCATCAGCCACACTGACTGAATAAATCCAGTTCACAATTAATTTAAATGTAGATGTTAGTTTGGCCAAGTTTTTACATTGAGCAGATGAATTGACTAGGGATCAAATGGATTCACCAGTATCAGTACCTCAAGGTTTTTCGGCTTCTTAAATTATACAAATGGTTTTCACACTATTCACCTGGGTTTTCTGTATATGTCGATTCCCGAAATGGGTACTATTTGTGAAGCCAATTTCTGGAGTCCCCCACCGTGATATTGCTGGAATATTGCTAAAAGTGGGGTAAAACCATACTCACTCACTCACTCTGACTATGGCACCAATGCACTCCTGTTTTCTGAGTAACACGCCTGTTCAACTGACTTTTCTGACAACTACATCTGTTTCCCCACTGCTTCAGGAGCCCACCACAGGTTTAGATGCCAGCCTGGCCTGTGACCTGATGTCCCTCCTGAAGCGTTACACCTGCAACTACAACAAGACCGTCCTCGTCACCATCCACCAGCCGTCCAGTCGCATGTACTACATGTTCACCAGGTTGATGCTGCTGACCAAGGGCAAGGTCAGTCCACCAACAGAGCTGCCTTAGTTGGAGAACATGGTTGTTATGAAGTAAGAGAACATACCCGTACAAGCAGGGCTGGGAGTCTTATCCACAAACAGACCATTACCTGTGTGTCCTCTTAACATAGAACTGTGAAGATCCGGGTTAGAATTGGTCTTCAGCAACCCATGCTTGTCGTAAGAGGCGACTTACAGGATCGGGTGATTAGGCTCACTGACTTGGTTGACACATGTCATTGTTTCCCAATTGTGTATATCACTGGATTGTCTGGTCCAGACTAGATCACAGACCACCGCCACCATATTGCTAGAATATTGCTGAGTGCTGCATTGAACAACAAAAAACAAACAAATCTTAACATTGCGAGGGTAGTTGATGAAGCTACTGCATCTATTTCACATCATTGTAAATTACAGTTGTATGTGTGACAGGATATTGTTTCTTCATGTTTCAATTTCACTGATAATCCTTTTGGCCTTCATGCCAGATTAACCCGTGAAGGTCCGGGTTAGAATGAGCCTTCAGTAACCCATGCTTGTCGTAAGAGGCGACTAACGGGATCGGGTGGTCAGGCTTGCTGGCTTGGTTGACACATGTCATCGGTTCCCAATTGCGCAGATCGATGCTCATGCTGTTGATCACTGGATTGTCTGGTCCAGACTCGATTATTTACAGACCGCTGCCATATAGCTGGAATATTGCTGAGTGCAGCGTAAAACTAAACTCACTTACTCACTCATGCCAGATTATTCTATCAGATGGTGACATACTTCATCAGGTGGAGGCTTCATAGTTTATATATACTGTGAGAAACAAATAAAGGATCACAGGAAAAGTCAAGCGTTCCTTTATTATTTTCCAGTTTTCATCACCACAGCGTTACTCGAAAATATTAAAGGAACGCTTGCATTTTCCTGTGATCCTTTATTTGTTTCTCTCAGTATATATAGTGTGAGACTTACACTAAGTCTGTGAACGGTGCACATGTGAACCTGAGAAATATCAAGACTTGTTACAGAAACAGCTATTGGTTGAAGGGAAAATAATAGGGACTTAGGGACCTTGATTTATGGACTTTGAGACAGGTCTTTACATCGTGACCAGCTTCAGCATATTTCAGATTGTCGAATACCAGGGCCTAGATTCTCGAAGCTCTCTTAGCGCTAAGATAGTCGTAAGTTAATGTTAATATATAGCACCTACGACCATCTTAGTGCTAAGAGAGCTTCGAAAATCTAGGTCGTGGAGTGCATTCTTATTTACAAATATTTAGAACAAGGCAATTCATTTGGTAAATAATATTTTTTGAGTAATGTATTAAGTCCATAAATCATAGATGATAAACTGTGTAGACTCAGGAGGTGTGATATTCACGTGTGTTGTGTAGAGACATCATGCACGCATGTGCACTGTACTGCACTGTACCACAGGTTGCCTACTTCGGCCAAGCTGATCAAGCCCTGGATTTCTTTGCTGATGCTGGGCTGCCTTGTACCCCACACTGCAACCCAGCAGACTTCATGTGTGAGTCTTCCTTGAAATCATCCTCGGTTGTCAAGGGTATTTTATCTCCGTTTCAGTGTGACAAGTACCTTGGTCCTGCTTGCCACCAAACATTTTTTCAGAAATGACATCACCATCACTGTGTCACTTTTTGATCAACCTTTCACAGATTTCTCTCATTTACAAATGGAAATTGTTTCAGTATCATGCCTCTTCAATGTGGTTCAAAAGGAAAGTTTGGTAGTGGATTGTATCAGAATGTATTTCCCTGCAGAATGGAGATATAGATACACTGGATTACCGAGGATGCACTTCGGTGTAATATTCACAGTAGAGGTCATTCCTGAAGTTTATCAGTAAGTAAGGACATATACTTAAGATATAAAGGCTCCATTTGGTAATTACGAACAGCATTGTGACACTATTTTGTATATTATATGTGAGTTCACAGTTTATCTGTAGCTGTGGTTGATGTTGCAGTGGAGGTGTTGAAGCAGGACAGTGATGCTGTGGAGAGACTGTTTAGTCGAACACAAGAGAATACTTCCAGGTACCCTTTAAACAACCCCTTGTTTGGGCTTTGATGCAAATGACTGGTCAAGGTAGGGTATCCAGTTGTCTAGGGAATAGTATTTTATTTTCTTGTACAGAGTTGCCTCCCTTAGAAGTGTCAGAATCCTGTAATCTGAGGTGAACATTCATTATGTGTTTCAGTAATATACCTGTGCTCAACAACATGGTAAATGTCTGAGATCTGCATTGCTTTTGGTAATCTTTCACAAGATGTATACGCGTAACCTAAATTCGTGGATAACCTTGATTTGTGGATCGCGGTAATTATCATGCTATCTCATAAATTAAGTCTCATACTTTCTTGGTCTTTCTTCGTATGAAGCAGTACTTTTGATGTACACACAATGCCATACCTCACTGACAAAAATGTTCCGAATCTCTGCATTACACGCAAAAACACTTATTAATAATAATAATAATAATAGCCCAAAATCACTAATATCGCTAATACCAAATTTTATTTTTACAAAATGTCAAGGAAAAAAAAGATACTGTTAGCACCAACCTTCTCACATTTTGTTGTCCGCTTCCTAGGTGTCAATACTTACTTCAATGGGCTGTTGTACATAGTGATATATTGTAACCGGCTATGTTATCCACGAAACAAGGTGACGTCACCTTTTGTGTGCGCACGAATGGGTGATGATTGCAAATGGCTTCGGTGAACAAACATTTCATTCACGAGTTGAATATGGTTCACTACAAAGTGATTACAGTGGCAGTACAGAACCAATTGTACAAATACATGGCAGTGTGATATAAAAGCAGTGGTTGTAGCAATAAATAATGATCATTTCCACCTTGCTGCAAGAGTGGTCAAGCTTCCATCGTAGGCTTGTGCTTGAGGTGAGGTGAGGTGAAATTGGGTTTAACGTTGTACTTGAGAATATTTCGCTCATATGACGACGTGCATGCGGGTGTATGTGTATGTGCGGCTGCTTGTACTACCCCAGACTGAAGCTGGTTTTATAGTGCTAGCCCACTGAGATACCATGTCACAGTGAAGCATGAATACCCCACTCAGACACATTATACTGACTCCGAGCCGACCAGTCCTTGTTGTACCCATTAATGCCGAACGCCAGGCAGGGACCAACAAGTACCATATTTTAACGTCTTTTGGTATGACGCGGTCGGGGATCGAACCCGCGACCTTCCGCTCTCCGGGCGGACGCTCTAACCACTACACCACGGAGGCTGTTGGTTGTGCTTGAGTATCCAGTGAAAAGAGATCTTAACACAACAGCTGGTCTTCTTTTATCATCTTATATAATGTGAGATAGCTGAGGCAAGAGTACACCCCTTTCTATATCAGCAAAAGTTTCAAGAACTCGCAAGTTCAGATTACTCAGGAATTTTCCAGGAGGCCTTGACACTTCCCCGTCAGTCTTGTCTCTTTTAGTCTGAATATAGTAACATCCTTGTACTGAATGTTAACAGAGACAATGTAATACAAATATAACACAGCTCTACAGTGTCTACAAGCACTGCAGCATACCAGTACACAAAACAGTGCTTCTTGTTCCCAGGCAAACAATCTGGCATAAATACCCATCAACTAGGGCTGGTACCCGTATTCCCATACGCATTGCGATATTTTGAAGCCTAATTAAGTGTTTGACAGTGAGTGACATAGATTATACATGCAGAGCTAATATTGTACATACTAAAGCCACAAAAATAAACTTAATGGTTGTGATAACAGAAATTTACTGGTATAATTAACGATACGTGTTGCAGTGCTTTTTCTCAGAACCGATATATTGCGTAATGAAATATATATGAAGTTTTGTGATTATCTTTATGGTTCAAGTTCAAATCTACACAGACTTTGATTCACACTTACGTTTTCCATTGTAATTAATTGACAAACAATACATTTTATAGAAAGAAAATACAGTCCCTCAAAATCATATCTAAATTTGAATATTGCGCAGTCCTACCATCGACAGTATGCATATATAAAGCTGCATAGAAATATATGTTTTGTGTGCTGATTGAAATGTTTTATATTGGTTTGATTTTCCTCCCAGAAATGCAGAAGTCATAAAATCAGGTCTTTTTGGAAAAACAGATGTATCTTCAGCAGGTAGGATGAGATGGTCATCTCAGATTGTTTTCTTTACTAATTTAAGAATCTCGCTATCTCACGGACCTGTCACTGTCTTGTAGAATCCTTGAAACTGACCAATCACTGATATTGGATAAATGGAATCTGCAATATTAAGATTCAACTTTATTGTTATCAATTGATCTGTGGAAGTATAAATTTATGATGCTTAAATTACACTCTGATACTTGCTTCAAACACCTTTCAGACCAAGTTCATCCCAAACTGCCTGTATCCATAAAGACAGGCCAGGAAGCCAAGTTTGTATTTACTCCTGACCTTGACCCTGACCTTTACCCTGACCTCCATCACGGAAGACGCTATCCTACCAGTTTCTGGATGCAGTACAAGATGCACATGTGGCGGACATATAAGCAGTCACGTGGTCGGATCCTGTCCTTGCACTCCGTCATTGGCTCACTGGCGCTAGCTGTCATCGTCGGAATCATCTGGTTTCAAATACCTAGGACAGCTGACACTGTCAGAGACAGGATGGGGTTGGTGAGTTGTACATACACTGGCTGTTCTGGCAACAGAAAATACTTTTTATGTGACGTAGGGTGGCCTGTTTGTGTCAGGTTACAGAATTGCCTCCATAGGCTTGTGAGCAAACTATGATTGTACTCTTGCTCAGCTTGTAACCCCCCAACATGAGTGGATCCAGAGAGGGGATGCAGGGGTGCGCACCCCCACTTTTGTCCTGAAAGTTTATTAAATGATCATTGGAACTCTTGTGAAAACGGATGAAAATGAACTGTGCACCCCACTCCACCCCTTTCTGAACTGTGCCCCCCCACTCCCCCTTTCTCAAAAAGCTGCATCCGCCTCTGCCCCAACATGCATACCACAAATCTTTTATATTGTTCCTCACTCACTCACTCACTCAAACCCACTCACTCAAAATAAAAGACAAAATACTACTTTCTTCCCACTTTGCCTGCAAAGCTAACAATTTCTTATTCTTTAACCCTGATTTCATGTTATATGAAAATCACACAAATGTTTCAATTAAATGCCCCAACACTGCCTATCTCTGTTTATCCCACTCTTGACTCTCTTTATGTTTGACAAAATCCGACACCTTTTACTCATTTAGGAGCAGTAGGGTAGCCTAGTGGTTATACTGCTATCTTCTCATGCTTTAATCCTGAGTTTGATTCCCTACATGGGTTCCACATGCACATTCCTGCTGTCTCCAACAGTTACTTGGCATAAATATTGCTAAAAGCTGCAAAAACTATTTTCTGTTTCACTCACTCACCCAATTAACACTTTGATTTACAAACTCTGCTACTTACTGAAATATTATTTCACTCAGCAAATGTTTGTTTTCACTTGCAGTTGTATTTTGGTATTGGTCACATGGGCTTCATCACCATCTTTGATGGTCTTCTCTCTTGTAAGTGTAACCATGGTAACCAGAGAAAAAGAACAGAAATCAACGTAAACTTATGTTTTAAAGATGTCAAATGGTTGTTTTCAAACATTATAACACACTGCTGGTTGACAATGCTTTCTCATCAGTGTGCGAAATAGCCAATGGCCTGCTAGCCTGTGGCTAATAAAAGTCCAGGCGGGCCAGTAAATCTCCACAGTCACTGGCCCGACTGGCCAATAAATTTTCATGGGGTCATTTTCTAAATATATCACTCTCTCCGACTTGTTTAGTTATATTACACTTTTAAATCCTGCACGATTATGGCCTGATAAAAATGTTCATCATATCAGCAGTTTAATGATGAAACCAGTGTCATGCTGGCAATATCTTATTCTTATCTATTTTTGTAATCTTTTGCTTAGTTTCTACACTCAAATTTCAGGCTATAGTCTGTTTGCAGTGAAAACGTACCGATTAATTTCACTTTAAACAAAAAAGTAAATCAAGGTAAGTGAAATTAAGATTGTGAATCCTCATAATTTGACCTTGCCAAATGAACATTTAAATTTAGGATAAAAGTTGTTGAACAAACGATCATAATTTCAAATCGCTATTATTGGTTTGTATTACAAGGGGGTGAGCGCAGTAGATGGAACAGTGAAACAAAAGCACATGGGGAATGTGATGAGCGTTAACTTAAACCAACACTACTTGTTCTCAATTTTTCATTTCAAGTGCATACCCCCTTGTAATACAAACCAACAATAGCGATTTGAAACTATGGTCGTTTGTTAAGCAACTTTTATCCTAAGATGAATAAAATTCTGAGATTTGAATGTTCAATTTGCAAGGTAAAGTTATGAGGATTTGCAATCTTAATTTCACTTTATCTGATTTACCTTTAGTGAATTATTTTGTGGGTTAGTAACTTTCCAGCATACCTAGCCCGCCTGGCTAGCAAAATTTGGAGACTATTTTTCACACTGTTTCTGACTTTGTGTATCCAAAAATAAGAACACGTGCACTCGTGCTAGCTCAGGCCTTTACAAGCAATAGTGCAGTGGCTTAGGTCCGATTTTGAGGTTGATTGTTACATGCCGGAATAAAGCATGAAACTTTGCATAGTGCTGGGGAATGTCATGATAAAACATATTTTTGGGGGGTGCCCAATTTTTGGGGCCCCCTTTTTGAAAAATTCAAGATGGCTTCCAAGATGGACACCAAAAATCAAGGATTTCCCATTTTAACACAATCTGATGTTTCCCCGCTGGATTATAGCAGAAAACCTTGCAAAGAGCTTGGGAACATCATGTTAAAACATAGTTTTTTAGTGTGCCCGAGTTTTTTGGCCCATTTTCCGATATATCCAAGATGGCGTCCAAGAGGGCCGCTTAAAAACAAGGATTTCCAATTCTGACACTATTGTGACTTTTCCCCGCTGGATTAAAGCAGAAACCCTTGCACAGTGCTAGGGAACATCATGATACAGTATGTTTTGGGCGTGTGCCCAAATATTTAGGCCTATATACCCCAAAATCTGAGATGGCCACCAACAATCAAAGAGTGCTGAAGTCCACCAAAAGTGGTCGCCGACTATAAAAAAATCTACATTTGCTGCAATATGTGAGATATATTTGCTGTTCAAAGGGTTATTTCTAATACTTTCAAAAAAATATAACAAACAGGATTTATGTTTAGTAGTAAAAGATATAATTCATTATCCAATTAATGAATACGTTACTGTTTTGATCAGTCACGTGACATCATTTTGTCAAACTCCGATCTCTGTGATTCTGAAGAGTCCCATTGAAGTTACAGAGCGATGTGCATAGAAGTTGAGAAGATTTAATTTCTTTGAACATAGAGGTTGAGACTTGTAGTCACATTTGATAAATTTTCAACAACTTCGTGAAGCTTCTGGCAGTGTCATCCACACCGGTAGCCATGCCTTGTTGTCCCAGTCCAACCAAACAAATCTGGCTCTGGTGGTTTCTGTCTGTGAAGTAAACAAGTAAGCCATATGCTGGCCTGGTACAAGGTCCTGTTTGTGTGCTGTAGCAGAGCATCCTGAGTGGGAGGAAGGTTCTGGATCAAACTTGATCTTGTGGCCTTGGCAGAACATTGCTTGTCACAGTTCGTTGACTATGTTCACTGATGTAGTGCTGTCAGACATGATGCATGTGAATCGCTCAACTTATGAAAACACTTCTGAGTCCACAGGTTGGTATGGATGCTGTGCAGGGAAAGGAATTCTCTCAGTCACATCCTCATAGGATATCCAAGTCTTCAAAGCAGTTGCCTTTTTACCTTTGCCACTGAACTGTCATGTTGTGTCAGACCTAGTGAATGCGTGGAAAAGTGAAGCACCACTCATCTTCGACAGCCAAGATCTTGGAATATTCTGTTGATGTGATGTGATAATTTCCTGTTTCCTAATGACACCCACAGCTGATCAGCAGACTTTAGTTCGACCAGTTTGGACAACAACATTTGTGTCGACAGTGCTAAACCATGATGTTTGTTGCACCTTTTTGCAAAGCATCTCTGACATGAAGGCAGATTCAGTACCTGACAATCAATGAACATCTGACTGAAGAGACTGTAGTCATTTTTCATGTCATTTGTTTGTTGCTTGATTTAGACTGAGGGTTTGTTTGTGGTTGCCCGGGAAAGGTGATTTTTCTTGATGGGGCTGTGAATTGACTCTGTCCTTTACAAACTTCTCATATTTGTCTTTTCCTGTTTTCTCCACTGATTTCATAGATGCTACGACAGCACGATCAGCTACGATGATCATCAAGGTTCATCAGTTCTTGAGACTCCAGGAAGGGATTTCCCATCGAAGCAACTGTGCCACATAAGTTGTTGACTTGAGTCTTAAATGTCTGCTGTGTAGCAAAATCTTGTTCATTGCTTCTAGTATCCACCTTGTCATCTTGCTTCTGAAACTCTTGCAGAATTCATCTAGTAAAAGCAACATTTTCTGTTAATCCAACTGCACCACCTGAGTGTTTTACAACTTTGCTGTTTTGCTCATGAGCTTGATCCAAAAGCATGGCAGCAAATATGTTTGATGTTTTTGGGAAAACCAAACATCTATGAATGGACTCTCTTCTGTCAACAGGAAAGGCTTTCATATCTCTGATGTGAAGAACCAAGTGACAAGTTGTTCCATTACCTGGATGTACAGAGACATGTTTCTTTCGCGATGGGACCTCACACCTCCACCCAGAATCTTCCAACAAGCCTCCAACCATTTTCCATAAGGCTATTTCAGTGTGTAGACCTCCAAGCATGATAGTGCACACGTTTCCACCAAACACATTAGGCCATCTCCACTGAACATATTTTGCTAGCACAAAATGTGGTTTGGCTATAGCCATGACTGGGAGTTGTCCTGGATTGCAATGTTCTGTAACTGTCTTGATAAAAGACATACCATGCCTAACCATGGCAAGACTTGCGGCTTTGTCCTTACAGAAGAGGAAGGAGAGAACTTATTCCTGCTGCAACCTGTTCCTGGGTTTGACGAGAAGCATGAAATGCACCAGGCAACTCATGCTTTTCCAAATGTTCTTCAGCAAGAAGGCCAATGCTGTGATCCAAGATTCTTCTTTAGCTTTGGTGATCTTGTCCTCGACTTGATGATGAGTTATAGGCACATTAACTCTCTCCACAATGCAGGCTACTGCATGAAATATACAGTAACTGTCTGGAAGTGTAGGTTTGGAAGTGCTTTAAATAGTGTCTATTGAAATAGGTTCCCGCTGGTACCATTATTAACAACATTATCAAATGTGACTGCAAGTCTCAACCTCTATGCTCAAAGAAATGTATTTGTAAATCTTCTCAGCTTCTATGCACATCGCTCTGTAACTTCAATGGGAACTGTTAAAGGAGACCTCAGAATCACGGAGATCGATGTTTGACAAAATGATGTCACGTAACTGATCAAAACAGTAATGTATTCATTAATTGGATAATGAATTATATGTTTTGCTACTAAACATTAATCCTGTTTGTTATATTTCTTGAAAGTATTAGAAATAGCCCTTTGAACGGCGAATATATCTCACATATTGCAACAAATGAAGATTATTCTTATAGTCGGCGACCATTCTGGGTGGAGTTCAGCACTCTTTGATTTTTGGCATCCGTCTTGGATTTTTGGGAAAATAGACCCAAACATTCGGGCACACCCCAAAAATATGCTGTACATCATGATGTTCCCTAGCACTGTGCAAGGATTTCTGCTTTAATCCAGCGGGGAAAAGTCACAATAGTGTCAGAATTGGAAATCTTTGATTTCTGTTGTTCATCTTGGCGCCATCTTGGAATTTTCGGAAAATGGGCCCATAAAACTGGGCACACCCCAAAAATATGTTTTATCATGATGTTCCCTAGCGCTGTGAAAGGGTTTCTGCTATAATCCACCCTATTATAATTCACCCTAAGCCACTGCACTTCAAGGGGAGGCAAATACCAAATGCTCCTGATTGCAGTCTCTGAAGAACGCCCAGTTCAGTTGAAGGAGAGAGGAGCAGGAATGTACCGACTGTCCTCGTTATATCTGGCCAAAATTACAAGTGAACTGCCATTGACCTTTCTCTTGCCCGTGTGTTACTTCGCAATAACCTACTGGATGGCAGGACTGAGACCCTTGGCCGACGTGTTCTTCGCCTCGATGGCTGTCATGTTTCTCCATATCCTCAACTGTAAGGTGGGTAATATACTCCTGGATGTAGGTAATATACACCTGAATTAAGGTAATATACTCCTGGATGTAGGTAATATACACCTGAATTAAGGTAATATACTCCTGGATGTAGGTAATATACTTCTGGATGTAGGTAATATACTCCTGGATGTAGGTAATATACACCTGAATTAAGGTAATATACTCCTGGATGAAGGTAATATACTCCTGGATGAAGGTAATATACTCCTGGATGTAGGTAATATACTCTTGGATATAGGTAATATACTTCTGGATGTAGGTAATATACTCCTGGATGTAGGTAATGTACTCCTGGATGAAGGTAATATACTCCTGGATGTAGGTAATATACTCCTGGATGTAGGTAATATACTCCTGGATGAAGGTAATGTACTCCTGGATGTAGGTAATATACTCCTGGATGTAGGTAATATACTCCTGGATGTAGGTAATATACTCCTGGATGTAGGTAATATACTCCTGGATGTAGGTAATATACTCCTGGATGAAGGTAATATACTCCTGGATGTAGGTAATATACACCTGGATGAAGGTAATATACTCCTGGATGAAGGTAATATACTGTAGGTAATATACCTGGATGTAGGTAATATACACCTGGATGTAGGTAATATACTCCTGGATGAAGGTAATGTACTCCTGGATGTAGGTAATATACTCCTGGATGTAGGTAATATACTCCTGGATGTAGGTAATATACTCCTGGATGTAGGTAATATACTCCCTGGATGGATGTAGGTAATATACTCCTGGATGTAGGTAATATACTCCTGGATGTAGGTAATATACTCCTGGATGTAGGTAATATACTCCTGGATGTAGGTAATATACTCCTGGATGTAGGTAATATACTCCTGGATGTAGGTAATATACTCCTGGATGAAGGTAATATACTCCTGGATGTAGGTAATATACTCCTGGATGTAGGTAATATACTCCTGGATGTAGGTAATATACTCCTGGATGTAGGTAATATACTCCTGGATGTAGGTAATGTACCCCTGGATGGGTAATGTAGGATGTAGGTAATATACTCCTGGATGAAGGTAATATACTCCTGGATGTAGGTAATATACACCTGGATGTAGGTAATATACTCCTGGATGAAGGTAATATACTCCTGGATGTAGGTAATATACTCCTGGATGAAGGTAATGTACTCCTGGATGTAGGTAATATACTCCTGGATGAAGTAGTACTCCTACTGTAATATACACCTGGATGTAGGTAATATACTCCTGGATGTAGGTAATGTGGATGTAGGTAATACTCCTGGATGAAGGTAATATACTCCTGGATGTAGGTAATATACTCCTGGATGTAGGTAATATACTCCTGGATGTAGGTAATATACTCCTGGATGTAGGTAATATACTCCTGGATGTAGGTAATATACTCCTGGATGTAGGTAATGTACTCCTGGATGTAGGTAATGTACTCCTGGATGAAGGTAGTATACTTCTGGATGAAGGTAATATACTCCTGGATGTAGGTAATATACACCTGGATGTAGGTAATATACTCCTGGATGAAGGTAATATACACCTGGATGTAGGTAATATACTCCTGGATGAAGGTAATGTACTCCTGGATGTAGGTAATATACTCCTGTATGAAGTAGTATACTGAAGGTAATATACTCCTGGATGTAGGTAATATACTCCTGGATGAAGGTAATATACTCCTGGATGTAGGTAATATACTCCTGGATGTAGGTAATATACACCTGGATGTAGGTAATATACTCCTGGATGTAGGTAATATACTCCTGGATGTAGGTAATGTACTCCTGGATGTAGGTAATATACACCTGTATGAAGTAGTATACTGAAGGTAATATACACCTGGATGTAGGTAATGTACTCATGGATGTAGGTAATATACTCCTGGATGTAGGTAATATACTCCTGGATGTAGGTAATATACTCCTGGATGTAGGTAATATACTCCTGGATGTAGGTAATATACTCCTGGATGTAGGTAATATACTCCTGGATGTAGGTAATATACTCCTGGATGAAGGTAATATACTCCTGGATGTAGGTAATATACTCCTGGATGAAGGTAATATAAGGTAATATACTCCCTGGATGTAGGTAATATACTCCTGGATGTAGGTAATGTACTCCTGGATGTAGGTAATATACACCTGTATGAAGTAGTATACTGAAGGTAATATACTCCTGGATGTAGGTAATGTACACCTGGATGAAGGTAGTATACTTCTGGATGAAGGTAATATACTCCTGGATGTAGGTAATATACTCCTGGATGTAGGTAATATACTCCTGGATGAATATACTCTGGATGTAATATACACCTGGATGTAGGTAATATACTCCTGGATGTAGGTAATATACTCCTGGATGTAGGTAATATACACCTGTATGAAGTAGTATACTGAAGGTAATATACACCTGGATGTAGGTAATATACTCCTGGATGTAGGTAATATACTCCTGGATGTAGGTAATATACTCCTGGATGTAGGTAATGTACACCTGGATGAGGTAGGTAGGTATACACCTGGATGAAGGTAATATACTCCTGGATGTAGGTAATATACTCCTGGATGTAGGTAATATACACCTGGATGTAGGTAATGTACTCCTGGATGAAGGTAATATACTCCTGGATGTAGGTAATATACTCCTGGATGAAGGTAATATACTCCTGGATGTAGGTAATATACTCCTGGATGAAGGTAATGTACTCCTGGATGTAGGTAATATACACCTGTATGAAGTAGTATACTGAAGGTAATATACTCCTGGATGTAGGTAATATACTCCTGGATGTAGGTAATATACTCCTGGATGTAGGTAATATACACCTGGATGAAGGTAATATACTCCTGGATGAAGGTAATATACTCCTGGATGTAGGTAATATACACCTGGATGTAGGTAATATACTCCTGGATGTAGGTAATATACTCCTGGATGAAGGTAATATACTCCTGGATGTAGGTAATATACTCCTGGATGTAGGTAATATACTCCTGGATGAAGGTAATATACTCCTGGATGTAGGTAATATACTCCTGGATGTAGGTAATATACTCCTGGATGTAGGTAATATACTCCTGGATGTAGGTAATGTACTCCTGGATGTAGGTAATATACACCTGTATGACGTAGTATACTGAAGGTAATATACTCCTGTATGAAGGTAATGTACTCCTGGATGTAGGTAATATACTCCTGTATGAAGGTAATATACTCCTGGATGAAGGTAATGTACTCCTGGATGTAGGTAATATACACCTGTATGAAGTAGTATACTGAAGGTAATATACTCCTGGATGTAGGTAATGTCCTGCTGGATGTAGGTAATGTACTCCTGGATGTAGTTAATATACACCTGTATGAAGTAGTATACTGAAGGTAATATACTCCTGTATGAAGGTAATGTACTCCTGGATGTAGGTAATATACACCTGTATGAAGTAGTATACTGAAGGTAATATACTCCTGTATGAAGGTAATATACGCCTAGATGTAGGTACTATACCCCTATATGTAGATAATATGCTCTTGGGTGTAACGTCTTGATCTTTATCTGCATGATTTCATATGTATTGACTGTTATGCAGGGTATTGGCTTCATGATCGGTCCAGGAATCTGGAAACTTCAGCTGGCCATCACCGTCACCAGCTCTACCATGGTGTCCCTCCTCATGCTTGGTGAGTATGAGTTTTACATCAGTGCATACATACTGACCTGTGTCTCTACTACAAAGTGTTTGTGTTCCAGAACATTTGTCAGTGCCCTTGCTGATACTCCTAAAGCTTTTGCTGCCCGCTTATGGAATTTATTAATGGCATAAAATGGTTTGCCCCTTTCGGCTTCAGCACGGAAAAAATCGTACACTTTAATCATCAACTGTTTCACTTCAGCATTCAACTTCATTTTTCATCAGGCATGTGTATCCCGTGCACGACGAGATAGTGGCTGTTCCGTTTCAGCGGTTTCACCTAAGCTGTTCCGTTACAGCTAACAACTTTCGCGTTTTCAATGATGATAGTTTCTTAAACAACTTTTTTGGTGGAGTCCGGAAAATTTTCAAATATAAGAAAGCTGTTGGGTATTAGTAAATGATAAACATGTGTACTATTTATATTTCTGTGGCAATTTTGTACAATGATCAATTTTGCAATTCATCGGTCCGTTTCTGACTCAAACGGACTGTAACCTGTGTCTACTGGCCTGTGTCTCTACTGGCCTGTGTCTCTACTGACCTGTGTCTCTATTGGCCTGCGTCTCTACTGGCCTGCGTCTCCACTGGCCTGCGTCTCTACTGACCTGTGTCTCTACTGGCCTGCGTCTCTACTGGCCTGCGTCTCTACTGACCTGTGTCTCTACTGGCCTGCGTCTCTACTGGCCTGCGTCTCTACTGACCTGTGTCTCTACTGGCCTGTGTCTCTACTGGCCTGTGTCTCTACTGACCTGTGTCTCTACAGGCCTGTGTCTCTACTGACCTGTGTCTCTACTGGCCTGCGTCTCTACTGGCCTGCGTCTCTACTGCCCTGTGTCTCTACTGGCCTGCGTCTCTACTGACGTGTGTCTCTACGTATCTGCGGCTCTACTGGCCTGCATCTCTACTGGCCTGTGTCTCTACTGGCCTGTTTCTCTACTGACCTGCATCTACTGCCCTGTGTCTCTACTGACCTGCGTCTACTGCCCTGTGTCTCTACTGACCTGTGTCTCTACTGGCCTGTGTCTACTGGCCTGCGTCTCTACTGACCTGCATCTCTACGGCCCTGTGTCTACTGCGTGTCTCTACTGGCCTGTGTCTCTACTGGCCTGCGTCTCGTCTGGCCTGTTTCTCTACTGGCCTGTGTCTCTACTGACCTGTGTGTCTACTGCCCTGCGTCTCTACTGGCCTGCGTCTCTACTGACCTGTGTCTCTACTGATCTGTGTCTCTACTGGCCTGCATCTCTACTGACCTGCGTCTCTACTGGCTTGTGTCTCTACTGGCCTGTGTCTCTACTGGCCTGCGTCTCGTCTGGCCTGTTTCTCTACTGGCCTGTGTCTCTACTGCCCTGCGTCTCTACTGGCCTGCGTCTCTACTGACCTGTGTCTCTACTGATCTGTGTCTCTACTGGCCTGCATCTCTACTGGCCTTCGTCTCTACTGACCTGCGTCTCTACTGGCTTGTGTCTCTACTGGCCTGTGTCTCTACTGACCTCCGTCTCTACTGACCTGTGTCTACTGGCCTGCGTCTCTACTGACCTGTGTCTCTACTGACCTGTGTCTCTACTGATCTGTGTCTCAACTGGCCTGCATCTCTACTGACCTGCGTCTCTACTGGCTTGTGTCTCTACTGGCCTGTGTCTCTACTGGCCTGCGTCTCGTCTGGCCTGTTTCTCTACTGACCTGTGTCTCTACTGCCCTGTGTCTCTACTGGCCTGCGTCTCTACTGACCTGTGTCTCTACTGATCTGTGTCTCTACTGGCCTGCATCTCTACTGGCCTTCGTCTCTACTGACCTGCGTCTCTACTGGCTTGTGTCTCTACTGGCCTGTGTCTCTACTGACCTCCGTCTCTACTGACCTGTGTCTACTGGCCTGCGTCTCTACTGACCTGTGTCTCTACTGACCTGTGTCTCTACTGATCTGTGTCTCTACTGGCCTGGAGATATGTGATGTCATCTAATTGTGTTTGTTATGGCAACTGATGACATCACCTGAAAAAGATGGTCTTCTAAGCATGGTGATGCAGTTCATTGTAGACATATTCCAGGAGATACGAGATGTTGCATAGCACTATAACCATCATGGAAGCATGTTTTGGATAATGGAGGGTGATAGATATGTAACTCATGGCATTCCTTTCGATAATGTGTAATTGTCTAGGATAGTCCTATGGTTTACGTTTGTTGAATTAGGTGTAGTAAATACAACCTGTGCCAGTTTCTAACCCAGTCTGTTTCCCAGGTGGGTTTTACAACACTCTGATGCCGCCATGGCTGTTCTGGTCTCGGTACCTGTCGGTGTTTGGCCACACCCTCAGTGCCGTGTTGATCCTGGAGTTTGCTGACCTGACCCCCATTCCGTGAGTATGCTCAGTGTAGGCATTTGCAGCCAGGAACTGTCAGTGTTTGTTGCTGACTTCAAGTAAAAGAATTCATTTATAGGCTAATGTTCCTTTATACAGATCTTCCATTTTCTTTGATATGACCAAGCCCCCACCAAACCTTAGATCTTAATTGGATAAGTGTATCTGTTATAGGAGGTAAATACAAAATAATGTTATCAATGGTGGTCATATAGAAATAATGGTGGCCATCTTGAATATTTAAGTCATCTGCATGTATAGGCACAACTTCTGTTGTATCACCATTTTACGCCACTTTTAGCAATATTCACACATTGTACCCATGTAGGGAATCAAACATGGGTCTTCAGCGTGGCGAGCGAACGCTTTGACCACTAGGCTACCCCATCACCCTCTAAAACCATTTGAACAATTTGTCACCTTTTTACCACTCGAGCTAATGGGAATTCAAGATCAGGCCCCAGAAACCTGAGAGTTTGGTTGGTTTGTTGCTTAGCGCTGCACTCAGCAATATTCCAGCTATATGGCGGCGAGTCTGGACCGGACAATCCAGTGACCAACAGCATGAGCATCGATCTACACAGTTGGGATATGATGACATGTGTCAACCAAGTCAGTGAGTCTGACCACCTGATCACGCTAGTCATCTCTTATGATAAGCATGGGTTACTGAAGACCAGGTTTCTGCATGGGAAGACAGCTAAGGACATGGGTTACGAAGACCAGTTATCTTCATGGGAAAAGAGCTAGATAGTCATCTCTTATGATAAGCATGGGGTTACTGAAGACCAGTTATCTTCATGGGAAGACAGCTAAGGACCCAGGTTATGAAGAAAGGCCTTCATGGGAACAATCTGGTGGTTCTTCATGGGAAGACAGCTGACATGGGTTGAAGCTTATCATCATGGGACCCTGACTGGGAAGAGAGCTAAGGACATGGGTTACTGAAGGTTATCTTCATGGGAAGACTAGAAAGGCCCAGAACAATCTTGGTTCTGACTAGGTTGAAGCTTATCATCATACCCTGACTGCGTGGCTAGTTTCTCACAGTATCAGTCTCTCCCTTGATACCAACAGTTTGTATTTTCTGTTACAGATGTTCGAACGTGACCCTGGACTCGTATCCCCAGTGTGGACGTAATGGTACAGACTTTGTCACAGCAGATGTGGTTCTGGAACGGGTCGGAACTGTTCTACCAATGTACATGTACATTATAGCAAACACTGTAACTCTCATAGTTTATTTTTCTGTCGGATATGCAATTTTTAGAGTTCGTGGAAAACCAAAATCATGAGATGCCTTCCATCCTTGTATTGTTGAGTTATTGTACTTCCATACATTCCAGTGATTAATGAATAGCTTATCTTAAACCAGTGTGACAAGTCATGCCATCAGAATGTGAGTGAGTTAAAAATGAGTATGGTGTTTCGAGGGTCTCTGTAACAGCAGGGGACACCACCAGTGGATTCATACATTGTTGTACAGGAGGGCCACAAGTGGCCCAAATCGTCTTAAGTGCCATTATTCACTGTGTAGAGTTGCCTCCTTTAGACATACCAGGAACATGTGTTCATGTGATCAAATCCCTCAGTCGTTTGTGAGTTAGTCACCATTAGACCTGCGCTCATTGTTTTCACCAAACTGGTGAACATTTGAGTCCTGCATGAATGTAGGCTTCACCCCAGGTCAAGCTTACACACCTGATGTAACTGCTATATTACAACATATGTTATATTTGGGATTACACTTTCTCAGGAATGTACAGAATCTAGTACTTTAATTAAGTCGAGTTGCATCTGGGATTCAAACCCAGACTCATTGTTTATTCATACAATAGTACTGTTCAAAGTAGTGTTAAAATCAGATAACTCACTCACTCACTCACTGTTTTTCAGTGGAAAATGTATTTTGTACCCAAGAGTATACGGTGTTTTATTTTATCAATTATTCTTTTGAAGTGTTTGTTCAGTCCTCCAAAATATCACTAATTATGTTAGAATGGTTTCCATATGCTAAGTGATTAGCTTTACACAACGAATGTAGTATTGAATTTATAAGAATATAGTGCAATATCCATATGTGATATAGATTCCAATGATCATTATAAATTATATTTTATGAAATAAATAATTTACAGATGCACGGATATGTGTTGTTGTTCGAGGGTTGTGACATGGTTGTGGGGTAAGTGAGGTCTGATGGTATGAACGTGTAACCACACCAAACAACTGAATACAGTCAAACCTCGTTAATACGAACACTTTGGTTTTTTTAAAAAAAACTTCGGATAGTGAAACGTTCGTACTGCTGAAACCACAGTATATGCACCGAGTTACTTCCCCTTGATATCTTTCCTTACTATCGATACGTGAAGAAATCAAAGACAATCACTGGATTTATTACACATTGTTTCACTCACACATTTTACTTACAAAAGTAGTCTTTAATGGTGGGCTGCTGCAAAGGTTGTTTTAAAGAATTGAGCATGTCCATTGCTTTATCTGCATTTTCAATGTCACCCTGCCACTCGTAGTACGTAATGATGTTACCGAGGTACAGTCTCATGTCTGTTAAAGACGGAAGGGTGACAGTGTCTTCTGCTTCTTCTTCACTTTCAATCTGATCATCTGCAGCTGTCACCATCTCTATGATGTTCTCTGAAGTCAGCGAATCACAAGTTTCTTCGTTGGCATCGGCATCGATGAAATCATCAGGCGACATGTTTTCATCATCAGACGGGAGGCAATAAATCTCTGATGACACTAAAACGTCTTGGCATTTGCATCCCCAAACAGGATGCAGGAGGCATAAGGTCATGAGCCAATCAGATGTTAGCTTTTCTGGTCTGGACCATACCACGTGTTCACAATATGGTTGTAAATACTGACCTACACGTGGGTCACCTGTATGTGACTTTGTGGTTACCATGCTGAACTCCAGGTATTTTAAAACGTAAACATGTAAACATGTTAATCACAAAACATCTTAACAAACATATTTTAGTGTTTTACCAATATTTACAATGTTGTACGTCCTTATGCTAGATCTTGTTTCGGAGTCACTCGAGTATTCCTCCCCGTTCTCCAGTACATGTTTCAAATGTCTGTGTGTCAAGTGACACAAGTGTCATCTTATGAAAATCATTTATTTTAGACCTTTGTGTTGACAGGCCGTGGATCATAACTGAAGCGGCATTTGCCTTCAAACCCATGAAAAGTGGAGTATAGTTTTACGCCGCACTCAGCAATAATCCAGCTGTATAGTGGCGGTCTGTAAATAATCGAGTCTGGACCCAACAATCCAGTGATCAAGAGCATGAGCATCGATATACGCAATCGGGCTACGATGACATGCGAACCCAGTCAGCGAGCCTGACCACCCGATCCCGTTAGTCGCCTCCTACGTCAAGCATGGGTTACTGAAGACAAATTCTAATCCGGATCCACACGTGTTAAATGAATCTGTACTCTGATTAATACACAGGAGGGTGTATCTTACACATGTATTAGAAACAAGAAATACCAAGATCTCTGTGATTTTAAACTACCGGCTGTAACATAAAGGACCTCATTTTAAAAAGACCGAATGGTTTCTTTCACTCCAGTGTGTACTATACCAACGGAAAAAAGGTAACTGTGCATAACATAAAACTGCATAAAATAAAAGTTCTTTGTAAAGTTATGGAAAAGTTTACGTGAAGCCCAGAATCAGCCATGATTGACTATCTGATAAGTGATTTGATTCTATATATATATTCCACAAACTGATCTGAAATTATTAATTTTGTTTTGAAGTTTTGATGAATCAAATCACCTGAATTTAGGTGTATTTTACAGCGGTTTTTTACTGTTCGGGAATAGAGAATCTCAGATGGATAAATGTTAAAAATTCGCATCAAAGATTAATATGATGTCACGATCTGAATGAGCATTATATTACTTTTCAGGGGCGTAGGAACGGTTTTCAGAGCGGGGGGGCTAATTTATGAAAAGTATTGAAAATCAAAATGAAATTGTAGTTATGGTAAGGTAGATGGTTTCGTCTTGAAAAAAGTCCCCCCTGTTGGTCTACTCCCATTTGTGAGAATTCCCAGTTGTGAGACAGTGGAGTAGGTACTTAGCAAATAAAACACACCTTACTCCCCTATCTGATAGAATGGATTAACCCCAGCTAATTATGGATTAGCTATTTAACTGAATCTTGTGGAGGTAACGTAATAAAACTCTAAAAGATAAAGTAATTAACCTACACAGATAAATGGCTTTAAAAAATAAACACTTTGTGTAGGTAATTTCGTGATCATTTGAAAGAGAAATTAATTTACCTACTCAGATTTACGTGTTTGAAAAATCCAGCAATAACTGTTGTCACTATAATTAATCCAAATGTATTTATTAACCTTTGAATGCTCTTTCCGATCACCATTATGGCAGACCTTCAACAAGTAGAATATATCACCAGTTCACGATAATCTTTTTCAGTATTTCAGTATCTATTGAAAACAATAAATGCTCTTCAACGAACAATGTCTTCTGTGTTGATTAACTCATCAATGAACTATACCTCCTGCGGGTACTCTTCAGCAACAGGGCTGTTCCCACTTTCATCGTAGGGATGGGGAAGCACCACCTGTGTGCACTGAACCATTAATTAATGTGTCCCACAACTGGGGGGTTCTCACAAATGGGAGGACACCCCCCTGTTCCTACGCCCCTGCTATTTCATAGGGGTTTGTTTGAGACTACCAACATTCATACTCCTGCTCAACGAGTACGCCGTACTGACCTTTGACCTTATTTACACGACTAGTGAACAACCACTCACGAGCGACGAGCAAGCGTTGTTGTTACCTTGTTGCTAGGCGACATCGGATCATCGATCGAACGGAGCCACGGGTATAGCTACCGTAGTGCACTCGTATGTGACACAGCTGAACGGAAATACCACGCAGAATACAAAAGTAATCGGTCTGATATATCTGAAATATGAACAGAGCATTGTGCATCTTCGACGAAATAATAGTAAAGTTTTATCTGGACACCATCATAGCTGCTTTCTTTCAGAAAACACATTATGTTTGTGCGTGCCTACCGATCCCTTACAAAAGCATTTACGGTAGAATGTTGGCGGTGTAAACATAATAAACATGGCGTCCGCCATACCTATGACAGACATATATGCGAAACGGTCAGAATATTTGTGGCAACTGAGGTCTGATTCAGGACGGACATTGTAGACGAAATGTGTATTGTGGTAACATGATATACAACATTCATACATACAGGTCGTGACAGCATGGGGTGTGCCAACAGTCAACTGCCCCCCTCGCGGAGGAATCCCGGGGGGTCAGTACCTACACGTGGGGGTACTGATAAACAGCTACACAAGCAGTAAGTACTTAAATTATCTTTACAGATTTACATCGAATAAATTTAAAAAATAAGGAAAACGTCAAAAAGCAGTCTCAATGAGATGGGAGAGAGTCTAATAACATCATCACTGGGGCTACACGTGATGGAGTTATTATAAATAAAAACTCACGCCCTACAACAATCAGATAAAGTGACATGCATACATGTATCTAACCCCACCCCACCCCACCCCACCCCACCCCACCCCACCCCACCCCATAAACCTGTGGAAAATCTAGACTTGCTTCGTGTAGAGCTATAGCTTGTCTGCAAGGCTTTCGGGGAAATAATAAAAACAGGTAAATACATTCACATCGAAAAGGAGCCTCAATCAGATAGAAGAGAGACTAATAAAATAACATCTGCACTAGGTACGCGTGCTGGGGTTATTATCAATTATCACATTCTGTGGTTCAGGGAATATGAGACCGACTAATGTTCTGATCACAGGCACAAATACACGCAGGGATGAACTGTGACCTGCTCAGGCCGTTATTCATATCTGTACACGAACATTTGATGTGCCTTTGTGTGTGTTTGTGACGAGGAAACCTGTTTTTGTTTCTCGCCTAACGTGACACCGTGAAACTTTTACTTTGAATGAATGAAAACCTTAAATGCATATATATATATAAACAGAGACTTCGTGTCTCAGCGGGGATTCTGGATGAGAAAAATCTCCCAATCCAAGATTCAATCAATGAATGAATGATTCAAGCAATCAATCAGTTGAGCAGTGGAAGTCTTAAAATAGAATTCAACACAATGTAATGTCATTGTTTACTCAAAGTTACACCATACTTACCCACGATTTTAGAAACTCTTGTAATGTCACAATTGACAACACTATTTCCCTATTCGATTATTTGGTTTTATTAAAGTTATTATTTGACTTTATAAATCTGATGCAACTGTGCCCTGATTTTGGCACTGCCAGACAAAGACACAGACAGCCTGACAGAGGCAAAGCTTGAATCAATTGGGTACAATTTGATGAGCTCATGCCGCCCCTGCCGTCTTACAGGTGAGATAGTGTTTTAGTGGTGGTGGTGGTGGAATTGGGTTTAACGTCGTGCTTGAGAATATTTCGCTCATATAACGACGTGCATGCGTGTGTATGTGTATGTGCGGCTGCTTGTACTAGCCCAGACTGAAGCTGGCTTTATAGTGCTAGCCCACTGTGATACCATGCCGCAGTGAAGCATGAATACCCCACTCAGACACATTGTACTGACTCCGAGCCGACCAGTCCTTATTGTACCCATTAATGCCGAGCGCCAGGCAGGGACCAACAAGTACCATTATTTGAACGTCTTTTGGTATGACGCAGTCGGGGATCGAATCCGCGACCTTCCGCACTCCGGGCGGACGCTCTAACCACTACACCACGGAGGCGGTCAGTGTTTTAGTGAGTGTAATTAAGTCACACTAAACTGTTCCATCTGTCTGTCCCTGTACAGGCGGCACCAGGCAGAGCTGCTGAGGGGGAACATGTCACTGGAATGTCCCTCCACTGCCAAGATCGTCCGCATATTCACCAGCAGCACATTTACAGGTAGGTCCACACCAAGACGATACAGGTAGGCCTTAACACCTTACAGGTAGGTCCACACCAAGACGATACAGGTAGGCCTTAAGACCTTACAGGTAGGTCCACACCAACACGATACAGGTAGGCCTTAAGACCTTACAGGTAGATCCACACCAACACGATACAGGTAGGCCTTAAGACCTTACAGGTAGGTCCACACCAACACGATACAGGTAGGCCTTAAGACCTTACAGGTAGGTCCACACCAACACGATACAGGTAGGCCTTAAGACCTTACAGGGAGGTCCACACCAACACGATACAGGTAGGCCTTAAGACCTTACAGGGAGGTCCGCCCAAACAACTTGTTAGCGTGTTAGACCAGCAGCACTTCCGTTTCGTAAAGTATGTCTTTATGGCATATAAATTGAACACAAGTATCGAGTTTGCAGTGTGTTTAATGTCCATACTATGATGATATCACAGAGAAAGTCTGACGTCACCCGTGACGTCACTTCCGACACAAAGAAGCTATGCTGGACAATGGGTCCAGAGTATGTGTCATTATAGAATGATAATATAATGGTATTGAAATCAAATATGGGATAGATGTTTCTGAGGTCATCTATGAACATCTGTACGCCATGCCGTGACCATGTGTATATCTGCTTTGTGGACAGTAGGGTAGGCTAGTGGTTAAAGTGTCCGCTCGTCACGCCAAAGACCAAGGTTCGATTCTCCACATGGGTACAATGTGTGAAGCCCATTTCTGGTGTCCCCCGCCGTGATATTGCTGGAATATTGCTAAAAGCGGCGTAAAACCACACTCACCTACTCACTGACTATCTACATTGATCCATCCCCTAGACACCCGTCACGAGCGGAACGCCCTGATGGAGAGGGTGTACCCGGTGCTGAAGGAGATGTGTCAACAGCAGGGGTACGAGTTCCAGGTGGTAGACATGAGATGGGGAGTCAGGGAGGAGGCCACGGACGACCATATGGGACCAGAGCTCTGTCTGAAGGAGGTGGACCTGTGCCGGAAGCTGTCTACTGGGCCGTGTTTTGTGGTAAGTTTGTTTGTTTGTTGGTGAACGTCGCATACAGCAATATTCCAGCTATATCGCAGCTGGGTCAGACAATTCAAATATTGAACTGTTTCTTGTCGGTTTGTCACACCGATCACATCAGAACACGTCAAAACATGGTGCTTGTGTTTCCCTGCATGTGTGCAGTGACATCGAAGGCCATGTTAACGTTAAACCTTACATCACCATTACACACTTTGTAAGCTTACCCGTGAAGATCCGGGTTAGAATTGATCTTTAGCAACCCATGCTTGTCGTAAGAGTCGACTTAGAGGACACTTGGTTGACACATGTCATCGTATCCCAACAGTGATGAGTGCAGCGTTGAATAACAAACAAACAAAATACTTGTAAGTTCGTCATTGTCCTGAATTATAAATGCATATGTGTAGACAATTTGCTGTTCAGCGTTTAGTACTCCATGAAAGCAACTTTTGAAAAGAAATAAGGAATTTATAAAGGCCGAATGACCATATTTGGGAAGTGTGTTATTTTGTTCCACAAACTCAGAAAGGAAATTGTAACTATCATCACAAATGTTGCTTGTTCATTGGATGAATTCGTTGTAGTTAAAAGTTAAGATTAATAAAGTTACACAAATCTATCACCTAGAGTCCCTTGACATTGGGCCGTAATCGGCAGCTAAACTCCCGAGGTTGAAGCACAAAGAACACCTGAGGCAAGCCACTTTGTTTTGTTTCACCAAGCTGTGGCTGGGTACCAGGTAGGATAAGACGCATCAGAAGCAGCTTGTTACCACTTCTAGCAGACACCTTATACATGGAGCTTAGCTGACGCTAGGTATACCTTATCTAGCAGACACCTTATACATGGAGCTTAGCTGACGCTAGGTATTCACATTATATGTTTATCTTTTACAGACATTCTTATCCCACAAATATGGCTACCGCAAAATCCCTAGGGAGATTGAAGCTACTGAATTCGAGAAGCTCCTGGCGAAAGTTCCCACTGACGAGGCGGTGTCCTTACTGAAGAGGTGAGGACTCAATACTCCTAACACAGTGATGACGTCTCACTTGGATACACTGCAAATACTTCTGGATTCATTGTTCATCAACCATACATACATGTCATGCATACCTGATACATATGCTCTTCGAGTAACGAGGATAGATCAGAAAATTAAACACTGGTCATACTATTGACACCAGGTGCTCTGTAAACACACTCATGCCTTCACTAGACACCAGCAATTTGTTGAAACTGTCATGCTGATGCCAATCTGTCACGATCTGTGGCCCTTGTATTCCCCCTTGATTTTCAGATTTATAGACAGCTGTGACTCATCAATCCGGATATTTGTGATTTTTTTTAAAATACACACGTTAAAACCTTTAAACAATTCACTGGACGTCGCGTCCTCCAAACGGCTTCAATAAATGATTTTAGAAGACATACTGATGTTTTGATTGTTGAAAGCCTGATCAAACCACTATTGAGAAAGTATCGCATGACGTTTGGTGGCTTGAGCCAGATCGATTGCACCTCAAGTTGTGTACTGTAGACACCAACGGCCGGATCTGTTGGAATACTGCTTTAGATACGAGAAAGGTTGACCTTTGGAAGGCTGAAGTCACCGCTCTTGTCCTCCAATCTTCTGAAGGTGTTAAGTTACTCTGCATCTTCATGCACAGATCTAACTATGATTTATAGCAGCGTTCGAAATACCTGCCTGCCCGACCGCTGGGGACGGGTTATTTTCAACACAGACTGCCAGATTCTCAACTTCACCTGCCCGACGGTAGGGTTAAAATTTAGACATGCGCATGAAGATATTCATCATATTTCAGGATATAATTGGATGATAAACTACGTCGCTTGTGAAACCTAATTTTTTTGCGGGCAGGTAAGTTTTGGTCAGGGCTGGCAAATTTTACATCTAACCAGCCCTGTGGTCTGGCTGAAATTTTTGGGAGTTTCATATCCTGTTTATAGGTCTTTATTTCTGGTTCAAATGGGCGAATCAGTGGGCACATCGATATACCTAGGCTTTAGCTCAACATAGAACAAACTTTATGGATAACAACTTCGATACAGATTCTTGTACCGTTGTCAAGCATAATGGGACATGAAGAAGGGGGAGTATATATATACTGGATGTAACAATGTAACAAGAAAACAACATTATTAACATAATTGGCTAGGCAGAAAGCTGATGAAGCCAGAGAGTAGACAAAGGACAGGCGTGGAAGCCAATGATGTACAAATAATAATGAGATGTTTATACAGCAGAGTTTATACAGTAGATTGGGCTTGGTGGATGAGTGCATCATAAGCGGATGGAATGAAGTATCCTTGGTCTCGGTTGATGGTGGGCTTTTGGCGTTTGATGTGGATGGCTTCGGTGAGCTTGCGTTTAGTGAAGTCTGTTTGTTTGTTAGAGAGAATGGTGATGTCAGACCACTCTATTTGATGATTGGGGCTTGCTTTGATGTGGTCGGAAATGGCTGATTTGCTGTCGGAATCGGTAACAGAGGTCTGATGTTCTTTCACTCGGGTGTTGATGGGTTGGGCTTTCGCCTATGTAGCTCTGCCCACAATCACAGTTTATTTTGTAGATGACACATTTTGGGTTGTTGTTCTTTATGGTGGTGGGTTTTCTTCCATTGGCATGGAGAATGTTGTTAAGGCTGGAGGACGCGGAGAAGGTGGTATCTGTGCCAGCTTGTTGTTTTAGGAGACGGCTGATTTGATGTGACGGTTTGCCAATGTAGGGGATGGATATCTTGATGGGGGCTGAATCTGGTTTGGGTCTTTTGGAAGGAGGTGACAGGGTTGCATCAATGGTTTTGTTGACTATTTGGGATGGAAAGTGGTTACGTTCTACGAAGACTTTCTTGAGGTGTTCAATTTCATCTTGTAGTTTAGTTGAACAGATGTTCTTGGCCCTTCTTGTTAATGTGGAGATGGTGCCGGCCTTAACTTTAGGTGGATGATTGGAGTTGTAGTGGATGTACTGATCCGTATGGGTAGGTTTTCTATATACAGTGGTCTGGAGTTGGTTGCAGGAAGTGCGGGACACAAGGACGTCAAGGAAAGGTAGTTGCTGGTTTTGCTCGGTTTCCATGGTAAACTTGATGCGGGGATGTTGGTTGTTGAGATGGGTGAGAAGCTGAGTGGGATCTTGCTGAGGTTGGAGGATGACGAAGGTATCATCCACTTTGCGATACCAACATGTAGGTTTGAAGGGTGCAGTATCTAGTGCTTTTTCTTCCAGGTCCGTCGTGGCCATTTACCAATTCCGATTCGCCTGCATAGAGAAACAAATTACTATGAACAAAGTACCCATACGTATGCGAACAGAAACTGGAATAATTAAAATTAAGCAAGTCCTAAAAGATTAATCACTGATTCGTTATGTGATATATAAACCGAATAACAAAGTAAAAATATAATATTTTACCCCACAGATGGTTCCAGAAGGATGAGAATAAGGTCCCGCCCATCTATGTCCTACAGCCAATTAGCTCCATGCTCCCAGACTTCCGAGCCAATGATCAGAGCCGTAAGAACAGCGCCAGGTCTGAATGGTCTCAACAGAGCACGGTGATGCAGTCAGCTCTAGCCGATGCAGCGAGACAGGCCGTGGACGCCGACAGAGCGCATCTTTACGCGGAGTCAGGTACAGCTTCAGAACACCAGCTTGTTTCAACTTTCTTCTCCCTCTAGATGTTCCCATTCCATATGTGCATAAAACGTTTACTCGTTTACAAAGTTTTAGGTCCCGACCCGCAAAGCGTTCTTATATTACGACCTGTCGTAACTCTATAGATTATAGGCTAACGAATATCGTTGCGCTACGAACGCTTTGTGGATCGGGACCCTGGTCCAATAGACCTGAGTAACACCGAAAGACAACGCTTCTCCGGCAGGAACATTGACCTACCATAAGCTGCTGCATTAAGCCCAAAAGATGCTTTAGGCATAACCACTGATTAGTAAGATACTCGACTACTCGAGCAAAGGTCAGGTTTAGATGGACGCGAGCCCTAAGTCAAGGATGCAAGTACCCGATCAAGAGAGGTAACTCTCATCTAAACCTAAACTCAGTATGCACTACTGAAACCAACTAAATGTAATGCTAAAAGTCCACCTCTGTGTAAAGGTTGTGTACAGGTTGTTCGCTTTTCTTCACCAGTGACAGAGTCAGAGATCTGTCGAGCAATGGATTCCAACAAGGATGTGTCCAAACAGTGCATTTGGTTTGACAGGAAAATACAAGACATAGACAGCCAGGAGACCAGCTACCTGCTTAGCAGATACAAAGGTAGGCTGATGCAGCGCTCTTACCCATCATGTCAAGTGTATAGGTGAAACGTGCAGCGTATCATGCTGGTTGTCCCAGAATATCAATATCCCTGATACATACCCTTCATGTCAATTGTATAGGCGAAACGTGCAGCGTATCATGCTGGTTGTCCCAGAATATCAATATCCCTGATACATACCCTTCATGTCAATTGTATAGGCGAAACGTGCAGCGTATCATGCTGGTTGTCCCAGAATATAAATATCCCTGATACATACCCTTCATGTCAATTGTGTAGGCGAAACGTGCAGCGTATCATGCTGGTTGTCCCAGAATATAAATATCCCTGATACATACCCTTCATGTCAATTGTATAGGCGAAACGTGCAGCGTATCATGTTGGTTGTCCCAGAATATAAATATCCCTGATACATACCCTTCATGTCAAGTGTGTAGGCGAAACGTGCAGCGTATCATGTTGGTTGTCCCAGAATATAAATATCCCTGATACATACCCTTCATGTCAAGTGTATAGGCGAAACGTGCAGCGTATCATGTTGGTTGTCCCAGAATATAAATATCCCTGATACATACCCTTCATGTCAATTGTATAGGCGAAACGTGCAGCGTATCATGTTGGTTGTCCCAGAATATAAATATCCCTGATACATACCCTGCATGTCAAGTGTAGGCGGCGACGTGCAGCGTATCATGTTGGTTGTCCCAGCGTATCCCTGATACATACCCTTCATGTCAATTGTGTAGGCGAAACGTGCAGCGTATCATGTTGGTTGTCCCAGAATATAAATATCCCTGATACATACCCTGCATGTCAAGTGTATAGGCGAAACGTGCAGCGTATCATGTTGGTTGTCCCAGAATATAAATATCCCTGATACATACCCTGCATGTCAAGTGTATAGGCGAAACGTGCAGCGTATCATGCTGGTTGTCCCAGAATATCAATATCCCTGATACATACCCTTCATGTCAAGTGTGTAGGCGAAACGTGCAGCGTATCATGCTGGTTGTCCCAGAATATAAATATCCCTGATACATACCCTGCATGTCAAGTGTATAGGTGAAACGTGCAGCGTATCATGTTGGTTGTCCCAGAATATAAATATCCCTGATACATACCCTTCATGTCAAGTGTATAGGCGAAACGTGCAGCGTATCATGTTGGTTGTCCCAGAATATAAATATCCCTGATACATACCCTGCATGTCAAGTGTATAGGCGAAACGTGCAGCGTATCATGCTGGTTGTCCCAGAATATAAATATCCCTGATACATACCCTTCATGTCAAGTGTGTAGGCGAAACGTGCAGCGTATCATGCTGGTTGTCCCAGAATATAAATATCCTGATACATACCCTTCATGTCAAGTGTGTAGGCGAAACGTGCAGCGTATCATGCTGGTTGTCCCAGAATATAAATATCCTGATACATACCCTTCATGTCAAGTGTGTAGGCGAAACGTGCAGCGTATCATGCTGGTTGTCCCAGAATATAAATATCCTGATACATACCCTTCATGTCAAGTGTATAGGCGAAACGTGCAGCGTATCATGCTGGTTGTCCCAAGAATATAAATATCCCTGATACATACCCTTCATGTCAAGTGTGTAGGCGAAACGTGCAGCGTATCATGTTGGTTGTCCCAGAATATAAATATCCCTGATACATACCCTTCATGTCAATTGTGTAGGCGAAACGTGCAGCGTATCATGCTGGTTGTCCCAGAATATAAATATCCCTGATACATACCCTTCATGTCAAGTGTGTAGGCGAAACGTGCAGCGTATCATGCTGGTTGTCCCAGAATATAAATATCCCTGATACATACCCTTCATGTCAAGTGTGTAGGCGAAACGTGCAGCGTATCATGCTGGTTGTCCCAGAATATCAATATCCCTGATACATACCCTTCATGTCAATTGTGTAGGCGAAACGTGCAGCGTATCATGCTGGTTGTCCCAGAATATAAATATCCCTGATACATACCCTTCATGTCAAGTGTGTAGGCGAAACGTGCAGCGTATCATGCTTGGTTGTCCCAGAATATCAATATCCCTGATACATACCCTTCATGTCAATTGTGTAGGCGAAACGTGCAGCGTATCATGTTGGTTGTCCCAGAATATAAATATCCCTGATACATACCCTTCATGTCAAGTTGTAGGCGAAACGTGCAGCGTATCATGCTGGTTGTCCCAGAATATAAATATCCCTGATACATACCCTTCATGTCAAGTGTATAGGCGAAACGTGCAGCGTATCATGTTGGTTGTCCCAGAATATAAATATCCCTGATACATACCCTTCATGTCAAGTGTGTAGGCGAAACGTGCAGCGTATCATGCTGGTTGTCCCAGAATATAAATATCCCTGATACATACCCTTCATGTCAAGTGTGTAGGCGAAACGTGCAGCGTATCATGCTGGTTGTCCCAGAATATAAATATCCTGATACATACCCTTCATGTCAAGTGTATAGGCGAAACGTGCAGCGTATCATGCTGGTTGTCCCAGAATATAAATATCCCTGATACATACCCTTCATGTCAAGTGTATAGGCGAAACGTGCAGCGTATCATGCTGGTTGTCCCAGAATATCAATATCCCTGATACATACCCTTCATGTCAATTGTATAGGCGAAACGTGCAGCGTATCATGCTGGTTGTCCCAGAATATAAATATCCCTGATACATACCCTTCATGTCAAGTGTGTAGGCGAAACGTGCAGCGTATCATGCTGGTTGTCCCAGAATATCAATATCCCTGATACATACCCTTCATGTCAATTGTATAGGCGAAACGTGCAGCGTATCATGTTGGTTGTCCCAGAATATAAATATCCCTGATACATACCCTTCATGTCAAGTGTATAGGCGAAACGTGCAGCGTATCATGCTGGTTGTCCCAGAATATAAATATCCCTGATACATACCCTTCATGTCAAGTGTGTGGCATGTAGGCGAAACGTGCAGCGTATCATGCTGGTTGTCCCAGAATATAAATATCCCTGATACATACCCTTCATGTCAAGTGTATAGGCGAAACGTGCAGCGTATCATGCTGGTTGTCCCAGAATATAAATATCCCTGATACATACCCTTCATGTCAAGTGTGTAGGCGAAACGTGCAGCGTATCATGCTGGTTGTCCCAGAATATAAATATCCCTGATACATACCCTTCATGTCAATTGTATAGGCGAAACGTGCAGCGTATCATGTTGGTTGTCCCAGAATATAAATATCCCTGATACATACCCTTCATGTCAAGTGTGTAGGCGAAACGTGCAGCGTATCATGTTGGTTGTCCCAGAATATAAATATCCCTGATACATACCCTTCATGTCAATTGTGTAGGCGAAACGTGCAGCGTATCATGCTGGTTGTCCCAGAATATAAATATCCCTGATACATACCCTTCATGTCAAGTGTGTAGGCGAAACGTGCAGCGTATCATGCTGGTTGTCCCAGAATATAAATATCCCTGATACATACCCTTCATGTCAAGTGTGTAGGCGAAACGTGCAGCGTATCATGCTGGTTGTCCCAGAATATCAATATCCTGATACATACCCTTCATGTCAAGTGTATAGGCGAAACGTGCAGCGTATCATGCTGGTTGTCCCAGAATATAAATATCCCTGATACATACCCTTCATGTCAAGTGTGTAGGCGAAACGTGCAGCGTATCATGTTGGTTGTCCCAGAATATCAATATCCCTGATACATACCCTTCATGTCAATTGTGTAGGCGAAACGTGCAGCGTATCATGTTGGTTGTCCCAGAATATAAATATCCCTGATACATACCCTTCATGTCAATTGTATAGGCGAAACGTGCTGCGTATCATGTTGGTTGTCCCAGAATATAAATATCCCTGATACATACCCTTCATGTCAAGTGTGTAGGCGAAACGTGCAGCGTATCATGCTGGTTGTCCCAGAATATCAATATCCCTGATACATACCCTTCATGTCAAGTGTATAGGTGAAACGGGCAGCGTATCATGCTGGTTGTCCCAGAATATAAATATCCCTGATACATACCCTTCATGTCAAGTGTGTAGGCGAAACGTGCAGCGTATCATGCTGGTTGTCCCAGAATATAAATATCCCTGATACATACCCTTCATGTCAAGTGTGTAGGCGGCGAACGTACAGCGTATCATGCTGGTTGTCCCAGAATATAAATATCCCTGATACATATCCTTCATGTTAATTGTATAGGCGAAACGTGCAGCGTATCATGTTGGTTGTCCCAGAATATAAATATCCCTGATACATACCCTTCATGTCAAGTGTGTAGGCGAAACGTGCAGCGTATCATGCTGGTTGTCCCAGAATATAAATATCCCTGATACATACCCTTCATGTCAAGTGTGTAGGCGAAACGTGCAGCGTATCATGTTGGTTGTCCCAGAATATCAATATCCCTGATACATACCCTTCATGTCAAGTGTATAGGCGAAACGTGCAGCGTATCATGTTGGTTGTCCCAGAATATAAATATCCCTGATACATACCCTGCATGTCAAGTGTGTAGGCGAAACGTGCAGCGTATCATGTTGGTTGTCCCAGAATATCAATATCCCTGATACATACCCTTCATGTCAATTGTGTAGGCGAAACGTGCAGCGTATCATGTTGGTTGTCCCAGAATATAAATATCCCTGATACATACCCTTCATGTCAATTGTATAGGCGAAACGTGCAGCGTATCATGCTGGTTGTCCCAAAATATCAATATCCCTGATACATACCCTTCATGTCAATTGTGTAGGCGAAACGTGCAGCGTATCATGCTGGTTGTCCCAGAATATCAATATCCCTGATACATACCCTTCATGTCAATTGTATACGCGAAACGTGCAGCGTATCATGTTGGTTGTCCCAGAATATAAATATCCCTGATACATACCCTTCATGTCAAGTGTGTAGGCGAAACGTGCAGCGTATCATGTTGGTTGTCCCAGAATATCAATATCCCTGATACATACCC